TATCTCGTTGCTCCCCTTGCCTTGGAAGGGGGGAAAAAAACCCCCAAGCCAGACGAAGTGAGTTCCCGGTTCGTGGGTCAGTGGGCGTCGCCGCATGAGGCCGAAGACGCGAGAGTAGCGCGAGGATGGGAAGGGAGGAGGCTAGACGAGCGGCCGCCCGGTGGCTTAACTGCCTTCAGCCTTCGCGTAACCGTAGCTGTTGAAGCTTTCGCATTGTGTCAAGGGGGGCGCACAACTGGCAGAGTGGGATGGATAATAGCTTCGAGTTTATGTTGGTAGCCCCGGTGGTGGTAGACTCCGTGGGCAAGCAATACGTAAGTTGCATTCTGTTCGCTCCCAAGCGTCCATTCCAATCTCCATGCTTGTGATAAGTCCTCGCCACCTCCTTCTCGTCGAGGCCAAAGCTGAGGTCAAAGGGCCAGCGCGAGGCACGAATAGAGAGGCACAGCACAGCTCAGCCAGAGTCAGAGCCGAACGGGATGGTTATCGCATTCGCAATAATGGCAGGGCTAAGAATAAGGTTGCAATAGCAGGGACAAGTCGCAATTAACCGCCCAGCGCCATGTCGGTGTCGAATCAAAGAGGGCAGCAGTGTGCTTGGCTTAGGTAGCAGAGCACCTTAATCCGGAAAATGCGAAATGTCTATGCACAGGATTGGATAGGATTGGAGTTCGGGGGGGGGGGGGCAAGCACAAGATGTGATTTCGGAGCAAGTTGCCGCGGCACAGGGCAAGCAAGCAAGAGTGAGGTTGGAGATGCCCCATAGAGACAGGTATCCGTAGACAGACAGACACAGGGAGCGAGCAAGCAGGAGCACGTTTCGTTCTTCCGGCCAGAGTCCTGCCTGTCCTGACTACAACATGTCTGGCGATGGAGACGTGCCTGACTAAGGACATGTGGAAAATGCCTGCAAAAGCATCTCGGTGTTGAAGAGACATGCTCCACCGGCGGGCCCTCTTTTTGCCTGCCCTGGCCATTCATGGCTCAAGGCCCGTTCTGGTTGGCTGCTTGAGTCTTTTGGCGACGGATGCCACGACTTTGGTTCTCTTTCTCTCTAACACTGGCCTGGTTCCTTGTCATTGTCCTTGCCTCACTGCAACATGGTAGGAGGACTAGCAATATCTGGTGCTCGCGGCAGGCGAGAGACATTGGCCAATCAACAAGGCACAGGCTAAAGAAGATTAGCCACAATCAATTTACGGATATTCGTACCTTAGCTACCATGAAGCACCTGCCAGTTGTGGTTGTTCAAGAACTCTACTGCATAGTACGAATACATTGCCGGACAAGCCTGGCAAGAAACAATCAATTGCACCCTACGGATACGCATACAAAAGTTCTTGCGGTAAGACAAGGCAAGGAATCTGGCGAGTAATACCTACCTGACGAGACACACACAGCACATGCGCAGTAATACGCAGTACAGTAGACTTTATCCCATCATCCATCCCATGTTCCCTGCTCTCAAACATTCAAGCACTCACCACATTCCTTTCTCGTCGCAGCCACTGGGCAGTCATTCTGCTCGCTCAACCCCCGAACCTGGCACCGAGCCACACATCCAGCGTACCCGTAACGACTGGCGGCTGGCTATTGCCGCTGTAACGAGTGGACGTGGTGGTTGGTGGCATCATGTACATGCGCTAGCCTCCTTTTGCCTGCCCTCTCCCGAGTTTCCCCCTTTCTTTTCTGCTCACATCCATACACTACATACGTACGTGCTTGCCAGGACAGGTGCTGCAGGCTCAGGAGCATGCTTCTAGACCTTTTCCTCGGGGCTGCTGCTAACTGCAGTTGAGGGATGACACATGGAGGGGGAGGAGGGGGAGGTGGAGGAGGGACGGTAGAGGGAGTGAGGGGCTCTTCTCTTGCCGCTTGCCTCTTTGGTGAACCGTACCGTCCACGACCGGTGTTGGTGTTGGTATCATCCTTCACCGATATGCCGGTAGACCGTGGCACCGTGGCACCGTGGCACCATGGCCCCGTGTCTCGCCCCTTTACTATTACGGCAGGGCAGAAGTATGGCCTCGGAATATCCGTAGAGGCCTGTCTTCCTCTCTACTATGGCTCGAGTACCTTACCTATCCGTACTACGAGGTCGAAAGCTGCACGCCACAGCGCGCCATCACCGTGAAGTGCATCTGAACTGAACCTCTTCCCTGCCGTCCGCTCTCCTCTCCGCCGCACCCCGTTTTCCACCACGCTCGTTCGCCACTCCGTCTTGACTCTCCTCTCCTCCCCTCTGTTCCACGGCGCAGCCGAGGCCATGATTTTTCTTTCCCTCTTTTGCTGCACACACATTGACGTTGTGCATCACACACATTCGCACTCATCTCAAGTCTGTGCATGTCTCCCCGTCTCAACTATCGGCTTTACGCACACTTTTGTATTGTTCCGATCCACGCTTGCGCTCTGCCTGTCTCTCTCATACACAAGCGCACATGCGCACACACAATACGAATGACCCTCAGTAAACTTTGAATTTCTATGTCTTTACATACTGGCCGATCGCATTCCCAAACAGCTTGGACCAAAACGGAAAAACCTCCGTTCTGGTTGTGTGTCAAAGAGACTTTCGGCCATGTGGAGTCACACGCGCCTTGTCCCTACTTGCTACTCCTGTCCCAATCCCGATCTAGGTCATGATGGGTGATTAGCATTCGCGTCCCATCCTTCGTCTAGCCGTACCATACCGTATTGTGTCTTTTGCGCAGCGCTGCCATTTCACTTTACATCGCACTTTATCTTGCTTCAGGCAGCAGTAGGCATGTCTGAGGGACAGACATGGGCAGCAACGCACATCACAGCATTCGTGTCAGCCCCTAGCAAAAGGTTAGGTTAGGTTAGACAGGGCAGAGTGCCAGCTCAACAGGCAGGACTGGACTGGACTGGAACTGGACAGGCCACAGAAAGCAAGACAAGACAGGCAAGATAGAGTATCTTCCCATGGTGACAACCTAACCGTATCGCCAACCAGTCATTTTGCAAGTTGCACCAGCCTCAGCCGGGCTGGCCCTCCTGATTGTCTTAAGGGACTACTGCGTATGGCACGGTACGGTACGGGGTTGACGGCTGATTGATGGATGGATGGATGCGAGTCTATGGAACTCTGGTGCGAATTGCTGCCAACTCGTGACTTGAATGGAGGCACTGAGTTCCTTGTACGAGACAGAGAGAGAGAGCCAAGGCCTTGCTTTGGCTTAGAGTTCTCGTCGTCTTCGTCCCGTCCGTTGGCCGCAGTCAAGTCAATCCCGTAGGTCCATGTCGTCTTGTCGCTGCTTCTGCGTCGACGACGTCGTCGTCGTCCTTGTCGCCGCCGCTGACTGGGTTCATTACACTTTCTCTGTTACTGAACCACATTCTCACATTCAATCTGCACTCATTCTGCTCTGCCACACGCCCGTAGACAACACCCCTCTACCCCCCCTAACCGCGCACCTTGCCCTGCGTCCTTTCACGCCTCCCAGAAACCCCACCCTTCACCACACGCCCTCCCTTCTCCATGTTCATGATCCATCCACCTCATCACATCCCTCCACTCCCTGTGGGTTGGGATCTCTCCTCCGTCCACGCTACCTCCCCACGACGTACTCGGTCCCCCGTTCAAACCCATGCAAACTGTTTTGCTATTTTTTTTTTCCTTTCTGTACTGCTGCATAGTATCCCGCCTCCCCTTTACTATGTAGACCCAGCCTGGGCTTCTTTCCGCCCGTCTACCTGGCATATCCTTTCGTCGCCAAGCTGCTGTACGAGGCTAATGACTGCCGCCACGCTACATGGTAGTGTACATATTCACTCTGCATGGCGGTTGGATGCTTGCCAACGATGGAGATGGAGAGGGCAATCCCCCTCCCGTCAGTCCCCAGTCCCAGCACCAGTCCCAGTTGGTGACGGGATGCAGGTCGCATTACTGTTGCGAGTCCAGGTCGACTGTCGACCGTCAATGGAGGACCCGCCCATCTGTTTCCTCGTCTCGTTTTGCTGATGCCACGGCCCATGACTTGGATTGGACTGGGCTGGAACTAGAACTGACAACCTTCCCTCCCCTACGGAAACTCACTAACACTGACTGATGACTTACACGCATACCCACGCACACCTCCCGCGCCGCACCACACACACCACGGCTTCTCTCTCTCACACGGTCTCTCCATCTCTCTTGCTCTTGCTCTGGCTTTGGCTCTCCTTCTCACACTCCCAACTCCAATTATTCCAACTCCCACCCCCCAGGAGACCCAGCTCCATCCCCAACTGCAGCTCCTCCTCCTGCCCATACTTTTTTTCTGCTCTGCTCTGATCCCACGCCTTTCCCACCTGCCACACGCCTACCTGGCCCTACCGCGCACGCCTGCAGACACACTTTGCACTTGTCACTCTCTCGCCTCACTCCCATCCTCTTGTCTCTCACACTCCCCCCCAAAACTAACTCTTGAGATCCCACACTCCCTGCCCAGGCTACGTACCGCCAATACGGACGATTACACTTTACAACCCATGCTTGACTATCCGTACCCGTACCTGAGCCGACCTGACCTGGGCATCCGCTCCCTCATCCGCCGCAGCAAGGCCAGTTCCTATAAGAGAACAGTCTAATCCGGGGTTGACATCGACCTGCTTTCGGATCGAAGCATCTTGTACCACTTTACAATCCCGACAATCAAAGGTCAGCTCCAGCTATACCCTGCAAAAGGCAACGCAAGCCAAGGCACAACGTCAAACAACTGTGCGCCTCTTTTTGGAGCCTCCCAGCATCCGTCATTCTAGCTCCTGTATCTACCTCGTTGCTGGACCCAGCTACTACTTATTAAACGTCGTTGCCCCCCTCCACCGACTGCCTAGTCCAGATCGGATCAGACCATCATATTATATATCATCTCTCATCCCCCAGCCTTCTCTCCAGAGTCTGCCGTGTCACACCCGCCTCCTTCTCCAAAGATCAACATTACATCTTCGCCTTCTATATATACATACATATATCACTCCCGCCTCCTCAACCTACAATGCTGTCCATCACACCCCAGGCAGACCACCACAGCCAGTCCCTCCTCTACCTTCCCTACAGACCGCTGTCTTCGTCGAACAACCGGGCCTCCGACCTGCCCTACCTCACCACCATCGTCAGCACCATGGGTCACAGCCTCCACCACGCCGGCAACACGGCCACGGCAATCTCTGTCAAGGATTCCGCCAGCGTCGCCCAGGCGCTTGAGATTGCCCGCGAGAGCCCTGACGGCGCATCAGACCCGACTGTTAGCAGCATCCTGGAGAGCGCTATCAGCTCGATCTGGGCCAAGGTCGCCGCGCAGCCCGAGACTTACGTCCTGACCCGCGACGAGTTCGCCGTCTTCAACTACTTCCAACACCGCTTCACCGGCAACAAGATTGCCATGGCCGCCCGCAAGCGCTACTGGGACAACGCCCGCGCGTGAAGTACGAGCAACGGGATACATTGAGCAACTTGCTCAGTTTTCTCTTTGAATCTACGGTTCCGCGCGCTTTATCAGCGCGAACTCTCACAGTTACTTTGGCATGAGTCTACGAGGTGTTTGGGAGGGTCGTTTTGGGGATAACAACGGGTGGCAAGGCTATTACCCGGAGGCAACGTCTTTCGTGTTCCCACAGAGAGTCGCCTCTCCCATCCTCTTTTCACCTCGGAAAGTGCCGCATATACCATCATCCACTACACCCATGGATTCACCTCGCCAGCTAGGGACTCGGGATCTGGTAGCCTTGTCACGCCAAGCATGGTACCGCGGAGGATTTGTGCCAGTTCCGAGGCGGGATGATGGGCCAGTCGGGGCAACAGCAGCCGCAGAGACGCTCGCATTCGTACCCCTGGGAAAGAGAGGAACCGGATCTGCACACTTGGTTGGACAAGACGACAAGCTGTACAGCGTGCAGTTAGTCGCAGTTACGGTTACTGGTCGCTGTGCGGTACTCGCCATGCTGCAAGCACTCGATCCTCCAGAGCTCCAGACCCCTGGTAAATCGCAGCATTCCGCCATCCGCCCGCCTGGCAGCGTTACCCGACTATCCAGGAGCCGGTCTTGGCTCTCTCGCGCCTCGGTCCCCTTATCCGTCCCATAATCTTATCAGCCCACCTGCATACCCATCAGACGCATATATCCGTTCTAATACCCGGTCAGCACCCACTTATCAGACAAAAAAACCCCTGGTCCGGGGCGTCGCCAGCCAGAAGAAGTGGGGAACCCGGGTCCGAGCTTCAGACTCCAAAAAAGAGACCCCAGAAAAACCCCTCAGTACCTACCGCTGGAAGACGTACCCTTCCCCGACCAAGTCCGAGATACTTGCTCTCTCAGTGTCTCCCTCTCCCTCTCATGTCATGGCTGTCCGCCGGCCCAGCGCGGCGGACGTCACAGCGCAGCCCGCGGACGCAGGGAGTGGAGGGGAAAAGTCTCCGGCAGGCAACGAGCAAGCCTCCTCAGCATAGACGACGTGGACTCACCGGTCTGCAGAATGCTGCGGCGCACAGCAGTCGGTCACTGGATGAACATGGTTCGACGAGCCTCCTGGTTCCGCCTACGCATGCTGGCGCTTGGAGATGTCGCATATGTATGCGGCATGCAACTCGATACATTCGGTCGGTAACTCGTCAGCACAGGGTGTCTCAACGGTGGACTGGGAACACTGCGAGGTTTGGGGGGATACGACACGGAGCCATCTGCAACTGCACCAGTTGCGGGCATAGGCATACAAACGGCCGCAGCGGTGCACGTCAAGTTGGACGAGAGTCTGCACTTTTGCGTGTGCCACGATGATACTCGATCGCATGTTTTGCGTGGCACAGGCACTAGCCATCGGCTCCCATGTTTGGACGACGACCAGGCGGTGTCTTGTCTGTCGTTGGCTTCGGACTGGTCGGTAACCGATCTGCCTTCAAGCCACCAGTGGTACGGGTCACACCCCTCCTCCTTCCTTTCTACCTGTGGCTTGGCGAGCGCTCGAGGCGCCTACGCGAAAGCCGCTAAGACATTGTCGTGACACAGCAAATTGTGCCACGGCTCGTCACACAGGAGGATCATGGGCGGACTTAGTATTACACTTCATGTCTTGGGTCTTGGGATCGGAATGCGTGGCTTTGGGGGTCATGGTGAATGGGTTAGTCGTGTGTTAGTTTAAATCTTGGATTATTTGTTGAATGCAAAAGGCTATTTACAGAATCATTCTTGTTGAACGTCCGGAAATGTGAATGTCGATGCGTGAAGTGGTGAACGGGTGCTGCGATCTCACCGCAACGTTTTCGAGTGGCTTTCTTGGCCAGATGAAGGTTGCTGTTATTCCCCCTTCATGTTACGGCTGCCTACGCCAATGGCACGGCAGCAGGCAGGCAGCTGGCTGGTTTGGAGACTCAGGACATTTGCACACACGGACACGGACACCCTCATCTGCATGTAGCTTCACACTAGATGGCAGAAATCATTGGAGAACCATTGAATCATGACTCTTATGCCTACCATCTTAAGAGCGTCCGGTATAAGTGGGATGGCCCTTCCGGAGATGTTGACTATTCATTCTGAAATCGGGTCTGGCAGCCCGTCAGGCCATCCATCTTCCTGCACTCGCTGCTTGCAAAGATGAGGCGAGGTGGGAGAGGCCAGGCAAAGGCGGCCTCAGCTCGGATCTCTGGCTGGCTGGGTCGGGTCGGGTCGTTTAAGGTTATTGGGTGTTTTGTTTGCTGTGCATGGCATGGCACGGCATGGCAGGTGCGCGACCGCGCCTCGCCCTCTCTCCTCTCGTTTTGGAGGTAGGTACAGAGAGAGGTACGGTACCCAAGCAAGGGAAACACTTGTAAGAGGTGCCGTCCTGCCGCAGAGAGCAGCCACCACATTGTTTGAGAGTTGCTGCTTCCCGTCTGCGCACACAGTTCTCTCTCTCCTCGGAGACGGAGCAGGGCGGGCATGATACTGATACGTGATACATGATACATGATACGAGCGCAGCGCCGCACCCGGGAGAAAATCAAAGGTTAGGAGCGCAGAGAGAGAAGAGAAGGGCCAAGAAACACAGAAACACAGAGACACAAGACCACCTACCCTGAGGCGGCCAGCAATTGGGTCGCGGCTTTTGGATTTGACTTTTCACCTTCCACTTCAACCTCTCGCGAGAAAATTGTTTTCATTCTCCCCCATTCGAGTCATCTCCTAACCCAGCCCGCCGGCCCTCGCGAAACAGCCTCGTCCAAACCATAACTCAATATCTAATTCCACCTATTCTTTAGCCCGTCTTTTTAGTGCTCCTCTTCCGGATACGGCGGAGATCTTCTTGTCTTTACTTCAACCGGTCCCGCCCATCCTCCCACATCTCAGGTGGCTAACACAACAACGTTGACTTGCGCCGAAAGGGACCTCGTAACCGCCTACCTTCTCTCGCATCCATCAGGACCACAACACACCACTTTTTTTTTTGTTCTTTTTTTGTCGTGTCGCGCGCCGCCCGCATATCTGGCCTTACCTTTGGACGATACTTTCAGGCCGAGTACTATCGTCCATCGTACCGGATTACTTGCAGCGTCAACGACAGCCGCCGCGCGGGGTTAGGTAACGGCCCCTCGCGGTTTCCACGAGGAGGTATCAAATCGAACGAACGCACCTTTGAACCTGGTCACCGCGCTATATCATATCCCAATAATCAGGTAAGGCACGCCGAAACCAGACCTGTTGTGGTTCGGTCTTCCGCCTCCCCGCTCCCTTGCCCGCCGCCGCCGCCGCCGCCTCAAACCGTTATACTTCCAATAGATGCAGATCCACGTCTTGTACTCCGTCCTACTCTTTAGTGAACCAACCCAGACCGACTGCCCGCGCGCCCCTCACCTCCCCTCCGCTGCCGCATGGCGCCGTCTAAGCAGCCATGGGCTAGCTTTGCCTCTGCGTCCTCGCTCAGCTGCTTGCACTGGCGCTTGCTTGAAGTTTGCTTTGGTGGCGCACGCCGGGTTGTGAATCCTTCATCTCCGTTCCTTCCTGACCGACCGCCTGGGATCCCGTGGCTTTGCACCATGTGCGCCCGCCCTTGCTGCCCACCACTTTTGTTGCTTCTCCTCACAGGGGCCGTGGGTTTTTCTTCGTCACGCGGTTCTGACACCATCCACTAGACACCCAAGCGAGACATAGGGCAGACAGAGACAGGCCTTAAGGCTGCAGACCGAGGGGCGTTTACGCCGCCCCCAGAGCCCAACGATGGTGGTCCTTTGGCCGCTCTCTCGGGCGCTTGCCTTGTCTCTCTTCTTTGTCCTTGGCTTGAATACGGGCTACGTGTCGTCACGTAATCTGATCTCGGAGACGAGATTGACAGACGATGGCTCCCGTCCGCAGGGAGTGCTTGCCGATACTCCGGCGCCAATGAGCCCTTTGCTTCAAGCAGACGAGGCTGCACGGGGCCAGCGGGCTCTCGACTGCTTCCAGGTGGCCCAGCCAGTGCTGGGCCCCAAGGGCCCCGTCTACCAAGAGGTACGGCGTGGCAACGATGACAAGGGGAAAGACTCGGCGGGTGCCTGCACGGTGCAATTGATGGATCACTCGTTTGGAAACAGCTTTGGCAAGCCCTTCGTCGGTAAGTCGCCGGCATTGCAGCAGCCTCTGTGGTGGATTAAAGCGGAAATAGGTATCCTGACTTGACTTGACTTGGGGTCTGATAGGCGACTACACACCTCCTGGGTGCGACTTCAACCGCGTCATTGTGAACTTTACTGCCACTTCTGCAGGCCGTCAACTGGACCGGCTGGCCTTGCTGTATCTCGGCGACACGGAGGTATGGAGAACCTCCACTGCGGAGCCCAGGCTGGCGCCCGGAATCATCTGGACCTATTGGAAGGACATGACGCCGTATCTGAGCATGTGGAAAACCAAGCAGAAGGTGATATTCGACCTCCCAAACCTCATCGGTAAGTGTCGAGCGCCCCGTCCCCGTCCCCCGTCCCCCGGTGCCCCCCGGTTGCCCCCCCCCTCCCGTGCGTGTCCCGATGTACGTGCTTATTATTAGTTCACCACACCCTCCCGACAGCACTACGACAAACGTATGATTACTTTGCTGCTACTACTACATGCACTGCTCTGTCTGTATGCTGCTGCTTTCTGTTTTGCTCCCTGGTCGGTTTCGGAGATCTCGGGGTGGGGGCCAAAACGGCTAACGCTGCCAAGACGACAGATATACGGGGCCCTTCAATTGCACTCTAACAGCGACCTTCTTCAAGAGCGACGTGGTCACTGGCCTCGCACCACCAGCCGATCTCATCGTGCCCATCTCGTCCCGCAACGCATCATCCAATACAGGCAGTGCCTGGCAGGTGCCCGAGCGTGAGGCCGTGAGCACCGTCAAATTTCCGCGCAATGCCAATCGAGCAGTCTTCTCCGTCTCGGCCAACGGCCAAGGGACCGAGGAATTCTGGTGGAGCAACGTCCTCCAGAGCGATGCCGCGGCTTTCAATGCTACTGTCGGCATGGCCCCAGCCGGAAGCCCCTGGCGTGAGGTCCAGGTCCTCATCGACGACAAGCTGGCCGGCGTGCAGTGGCCCTTCCCCGTTATTTTCACCGGCGGAGTCGTGCCCAGCTTCCATCGCCCGGTTGTCGGTCTCGACGCCTTCGACCTCCGGGAACACGAGATTGACATCTCGCCCTGGCTGCCCGTCTTGAGCGACGGCAACGAGCACACCTTCAAGATCAAGGTCGCCGGCCTCGCCGATCAAGGCGACAAGACCTCTGTGAACACGACTGTCGGCAACTTCTGGGTCATCTCGGGCAAGGTTTTCTTGTGGCTTGACGAAGAAGGATCCGTCACCACCGGACGACCGCCTACCGTTGACATTTCCGAGCCGGACGTTAAGCTGACGGGTCGAATGCTGAAACAAAATTCGACCGGCGCAAATGAGTCCCTCGCCTTTAACCTCGAGGTGACGCGTTCCATCTCGGTCAAGGGTGAGGTCGTCTCAAAGAAGGGCACCATGAACCCCGTGTGGAGCCAGAAGCTGTCTTACAGCAACCAGGCGACAATCAGCGAGTTCGGGCGCAACGGCTTCAACAACTTCATAATCACCGGCACGGATGAGCTCAGCGGCCAGGGGTCTTACAAGTCGACGTACTCTTTCCCGCTGATTGTCGACCAAATCTCAAACATGACAGCCGCCGGCGACCTCAGCCTCTCGGCGACGCTATTCCAGGAACTGAAGTTGGAGGTCGAAGGCGTCGGCGTATACCCAACGGGGCTTGAAGTGTACAACAACCCAAACCGCACCGAACGCCAGGGCAAACCCGGTGACTACAGGATAGCAAAGCTCTCGACCTTCCGCAACGGCACCGCCAAATTCAATATGCCGGCAGATATGAAGAGCAGTTCAGCCTCTGGCACAATCCGCCAGGTACTTAGGTTCAGTGGCGGTCGAGAAGGAGGAGCACGTGACGTGGAGCTATACTCGCGCCAGGTTCGAGCCACCAACAACACCGTCTTGTCTGATGAAGAAAAGTCTGCCGATAGCCAGCCGAGAGTGCTGCTATCGGAGGAAGTCAATTAAGATCGCCAGGGCGGACCGACCACAGGTTGTCGCAGGTGGGAGTCGTGAGGTTTCGGCAGGCTTCATTGACAGAGGACAACCGCGGAGAACAGGACAAACAGACGTCTACGGAGTCCGAGTTGGACCGACCAGCTGGAATTTCCAGGTTCTGAGGCAAAGTCTACTAAACGGCCCAAGTGCCCGTAGTGTCCTAGGCTAGAGGGAAACCCTTAGCCTGTCATGGCCAAGGTGAGAAGCAAGCGAGAGAGAGAGCAGCGCTGTGTGTGTGTGTGTGTCTCATGTTGGACTGCCGTTGGCAAGGTACTCGAGATCGGGATTTGCTTTTTAAACTTTCGGGGTTAGAAAGCAAACGGCGAAATAGCAGTCAATCTCCCCCCATCAAAAAATCGAACCGATCAGCCATGTTTCGTTCGTGCTGGGGTGTTGGAACTGGACACCAGCCCAGGCCTGGTGCCAGGTGGTGTCAGGTTCAGAGAGACCAGCCTCCATGAGAGGACGGAGGACGGATGACGGATGACGGGAGCAGGGAGGAATTAGGTTAGCACAGCCTACCATGCAAATTCCTCGGAATATTAAGCTTTACGGCGCGCCTGCCAAACCTCACCTGTCCTTCCTCTGCCGGGAGCGATCGACCGCTCATCAATCACACCAGTTCCGTCGTGTTGCAACTCTTGGCCCGACGGGATATTGCTGAGACGAAAGGAGAGACAGAGGGACAGGCAGGCAGGCAGAGAGAGAAGGGCACACAAGACGGGAGCTGTGGACCAATGGGGAGAGGGCGAAACGAGCAGCGTCTCTTTGTGTGTTTGGTTGGTTGGCAGCATCAGCATCCATGGCGTATATCAGCAAAGCACGGCTCAGCTGGCAGCCATGGCACGACATTTGTGCCCGTGGTGCCCTTCTCGTACGGTCGATCCCAAGTGGCCCTGTGCGGCGCCTCCACGCATATGCTTGAGGGTGCGGCATGCAGTGCCAAACTCTAATTCCACCACGGCAAATCACAAATCCCATCCTTTTGATGGGAAGAACAGCCCTTACCTTCCCTTCCCGGACGCGATGCTCCACCTGCCACTCCCAAACCCAGCATCTGGCGTCCGCTACCGTCCCATCATTCTGCCTCCTCTAGGTCCTCTGTGACGGTCGTCCCGTGGTTGGTGAAATCCAGCCAAGGCACAAGGCACCACCACCACCAACGACAACCGCACTGTCCCTGTGGGCAGCAATCCGCGGCGCTTCCCAGCAGTCAGGGCGACTAGCGGCGCACCGGCATCGCTTTCAGCAACGAAGGGGGGGGGGGGGGGCTTAAAGGCATGCCCCAATGTGCGACTGCCTCAAGTTCAAGCCTCATACATCACATGAAGCCCGGCAGTCTGGGCACTACACCAAACAGCCCTCCGGCATACAGACAACGCGCAACAGATGGGTGGACGTGTTGAAGGGACGGGAATGTGGACGGGAGTCACCACACGGGAGAGGGAGATTCTCTCTTTCCCTTTCCCTTTCTTCCGTGCGTGCCCTCCCTTCCCTTCCCTTTCCGCCCGTCCTTTCTCCATCTCACTCTGGTAAAAATAGGGGCAAACCTACCCAAAAGGCACCCACTCACACGTCGATCGTCAGATACACCCATCGCACGTATCCGTACGTACTATATAAAACAAAAGAGGGTACTTGCGTATAGTACTGCCAACACTGCGTAGCACTGGTGCAAAGCAAGCAAAACCTTAAGATCCATGCTGGAGGGGGGCGATTTACGCGGTAGCCCTGGTCCAATGGACAGCTCCTTCCTGCTTCTCACACCAAACCTTGCCCGTCGTCAGATGTCCAACCCGTCGCAGATAAGCTTTGCGCGTGCTATTTTGTCATCCCTCTTTCTGCCCATCATCGAGGACGTGGGATACACACCGACGATCGATCCCCATCCCCTCCTCCCCAGCCAACGAACCATGCTACTGTAACCTGGGTGCTATGCAGTAGTTTGTTAAGTACGGAGTACGGAGCGGCCGCCCCTTGTCCTGCAACGTCCAAGATACTTGGTGGAGGAAAGAAAAGTCTTTGGCGCCTACCTGAACCTAGCTGGCTCTCTCCTCCCAACTCGCTTCCTGCCACTGCCGTGTTCCATGGTTTCTTCTACAAAACTATGTGTCGTTCGTTCTTGATATTGGGGGCGTTTCCCGCTCACCAGCTCGTCTTGGCGGCGCCGTTCCAAAACCCCCTCAGACCCCTTTTCCGGTTTTCTTTGTGTGTATTATTACCAACGCTATATATCAAAGGTACGGAATACGGGTATACCAAGAAGGCCAAGCTTTCTCTTCACCTGGTACGCCGCGAGTAAGTGCAGCCTGCAGGCGGGACCGATTCTCTCGGACTTTTCGCATCGCGTACTGCGCGTCGTATCTCGTTCCTGCTTCGCGGGGGCAAGGGGAAGGGGAAGGGGGGGATAAAAGGATGGATGAATGGGGCGGCGCACAAATGACCCGCGTTGCCCAGTCTGCCGAATCTGGCAGAAGTTCAGGTGAACCGGGGATAATCATTGGAGGACTAGGCGGGTTTGGTGATCCTCTCAATACCGCTCCTGCTGCTGCTGCTGCGCTGCTGATGCGGTGCGCTGCGGTGTGGTTCGGTGTTGCCCCATCCGCCCAATCCCTCGATCCTCTCCCGCGCCCCCCCTGCCGCGCTGTTGGAAGTTCATCAGGGCGGGCATCGGGGGTCGCAGCAGCCAGCAGCCAGCAGCAGGCAACGCTTCCCAGGGGGCCGTGGAAAGAAGGTTTAGAGCCGCCGTGGGTGGTGCAGATGCGGGCCTTGGAGATATGCACGGCACGCACACCACGCGCACACCAGCAACACGGGAAACGCGAAGCGCGGAGCTCTGCGGAGTCAAGGGGGTAAGCAAGCAAGAATGGGATATGTATGTTCGTTGGAACAAGCCGGGGGGTCACAGTTCGATTCGATGAGATGTGGAGGAGGACGAGGGGGGGCGGGGAGGGGGGGAGGGGAGGAAAGGGAAGATCATCACGCAGTAAAGTACATGGCGGCCGTCTACTTACACATGTACACCTACCTACCGACCTGCCAGACACGCAGATGGGCAGCAGGAAGCACACGAGGTAGACACACACACACACACCAGACACGCAGCACACATGCACATGGTGCGGGATGCAGGCCCGGTAAGGTGAAGGAAAGGAACAGGGAGGGTGTACGTCGTCAGCAAGTCAGCAGGCGGATGAGGCGAGGAGGGCAGGGCTACAGGGCGATGGGTAAGGCAAGGCCAAAGGTAATAAGCGAAGGTGTGGTGTGGTGTTGTCGTTGATGCCGTTGGAGGTAGGTGTTTGTTCCCTTCCTCGGTGGCGGCGTCGGTGGTGCCGTCGTCGTTGGGTGGGTACAGGCACCGGGGCATGCAAGCGCCGGGCCTGGCAGGGCCTGTCTTGCCGCACTTTCTCACGATGTCCGCCTTTTCCACAGGTGTCTGTTCTAGAAGGTTTCTTTCCGAGACGGACCTGAAGAGCCCGGGGCGGGTTCTGGAGGCTGGGGTAGGCCGGCTCGCCGACCATGTGTCTTTTTTTCTGCTCCCCCCTTTCTTTTGTGCTGCGTTCGCGTGCCCGTTGCAAGCAAGCGCCACATCTCTCCCAGTTTGAGGATGTGAAGGGTGACGAAAGTAGGAGTCGGGCAATATACCGTAGAGTAGGTCACTTCTCGACATCTCTCTCGCGCTCCGTCCTCGAGTTTTAACCCCCCTTACGCAGCATCAGTAGCGCGGCGCGCGGAAATACTGTCGCGCGGTATGGTAAGTCCGCAAGCACGCGCCCGCTAAACCACAGCGGCGCGAAGTGTAACGACTGGTCTTGTTGGTGCTGGTGTCAAGGTCAGATCTTTCGTTTTGCCTTTTCTCCATAGTTGCAGTGAGAGAGAGCGTGGAGTGGTAGGAAGCGCAGCGGTCAAGCCACAAGAGGCCGTCCAAGGGGGAAAGAGAGGGGCGTGACCATATCTAGGTGTCAACTCTGCAGGTAAGCTAGCAGCGATCCGCGTATGCGATGCGGGTGCGATGCCATTCAGCCGTTGGGAAAGCAGATTGCTTCATGTTGTCTAGACTCTGCGGCCTCTGTGCCTGTCGTCGGGACCGAGAACGGCTATGGCGGCTCCCCAAGACGCTACTGCAAGAGAAAGTTGGAGGAGAAGACCAAAAAGAACAAACCCGCATGGCTGCTGCATCGCGTTACGCAACGCAGAGCACGAAAAGCAACAGTTCAGAGGACGGACGGGCCCATGGTGTGACGCTGGTTCACCTCTTGGTCAAGACTGACAAAACCCGGGTTTTTGGAGGGGTGACAGAGCACGCAGCAGGCAGTCTTTTTGGCTTTGGGTGGCTTAGACTTGAGGCGGCCCAAAACCTTATTGACGAAAAGGAGTAGATACATCAACAAGCGTGGCGTCTAGTTTCGAGACGTGGTAGGCTCTGACGCTGCTGCTCTCTTGCCTAGCGGGAATTGCATCTTTTCCACCACACACCAACGACAGAGTCCGAGACCAACTTCAGCCAGTGCGACCAAGCCACATCTTCCTTCCTGGCCCCCCCTTTCGGAGTGTGTCCGACGGTATACGCCCTCCAATATCTCGGTTCAGCTATAGACGCGTGTCACTCACCCTGCCATATGACCTGCGGTCAAAAATGATGAAATTAGAGTTCATGTTGCCCCGGGCGGCTGCGGTGCTGGGCGGTGTGTGGTTGTCTAATGTTTCGCGGTATAGGCCCAGATGAGGAAGAACTGCACATGCGGTACAACGTCAGCCGCTTTTTTTAATGAGAGAGATTAAATTGATTGCATGGCACTACTGTTCAACGCCGTTGATTACCCGTAATCAGGGCAAAAGTACATCAAGTATTGACATCGACTCTAATCTGGGGAAATGGGGTAAAATTGACATGGTAGATGGCGGGTTTGGCAAGGCAGAGCGGGCGTCGCGATGCATGACATATGCCGATGACATGTTCATCCCGTCCGGGCGGCGTGCGTCATAGCTTCTTCTTCCTCCTGAAAGCCTTTTGGTCCTTTTTCGTTCCGCTCCCAATGGCCAGAGATATGTTTTTAAGCTTTGCTGATTTGAAAAAGGAAAGAAAAAAAAGGGGTACTCTGCCTCGGCCCGTGTCTCTTTGGTATGTTGGTGTCAAGAAAATGAGACATATGATATGTGACAAAGGCTGAAGGAAGGAATGACTTTCGCCTGCGCCAACAAACTTTACAGGGACCCGGGAGATAAGGAGAGACAGACTTTCTTCACTCAGGCGAGCCGTGCAAGAGAGAGCGAGAGAGAGAAAGAGAGAGGTCTTGCGCAAGACTGAAAAAAGGCTGGGACGGTTTGGTATGATGCTGATGATGAGCATAGGGGGGGGAGGAATATCAGGCGGCCGCCTCTGCTAGTCTTGTCTGCTGTAAATGGGCAAAACTCTAAGTTATCGAAGTTTGCTTTTCTACAGGAATGAGAAAAACCTTTTTCTTCCTTCTTGGGGGCCGTGGTGTCGTTGGAGTTATGAAGTTGGGGTTGGTGTTGTTGTTGCTGCGGTGGTGGTTTGGATTTTTCCGTGGTCTGCGCGCGCCACACCCTTCCCCAACCGTGCTACGTCTGTACGTAGTGTTCAACTTCCCTCGGCAGGCAAGCCAGCGAATGCAAGGTCCTTTCTAAAACTTGGAGAATCTGGAGAAATGAGGGGATTGGGGGGGTACGAGAGGGAGTGTGAGGGGACGATGGGCGTGGGATGTGTCGTCCCGTGCTTTCTGCACCGCTAGAGTCTACCGTCGATGGTACAAGCCAAGGAGGTAGTGAGGGTGTACATTTGAGAAGGAAAGAGAGAGGGCTACAAGCGAGGTCTGCTAGCCTTGCTCGAAACCAGACCGGACTATCGTGGGGGGCGTGTAGTAGTAGCAGGTAGTAGTTAGTTCTCTGACCGCGCACTAGTTTTGTCATCTCTTAGGAATGAAGCTTGGGTTTGGATTTAGTGGTGTTCGTCGGAGTATATTCCGATTATCAAGCAATGCGCCCTGGGTTATGGTACTGGACTGGGCGACGGACGATGGCAGGGGGAAACTCTGAATTTTGGAGAGGAGGGGCGTGGGCAATCCTTCTAGGGACTCAGCGCGGCCTGGGAACCGAACTATAATTCTCTCTTCCCTTGTAGTCAGAGATGGATAATCAGACAAGACAAATGCAAGGGCAAAGGCAACAATGGGACCACCAAAGACTTGAGAAGAGGAGGAGGAGGAGGCGGGATAACAGGGAGATTGCGATTCCTGCCGGTAAGTCTCGAAAGTGTCAACTTTCTTTTCGCCACCGCCATGGTCCAAATCGTCGTCAACCACCCCCTTATTCCCATCTTTCCCCCCTTCAGGTTGCGTTTCGAGGCGTGGATGGTGTGGGATGAACCCGAACTCTATCCAACGTGCAATAAGAAAAAAGAAGGTTTGGAAGGCTCAAACCTGCAGGTGTCGAAGAATACCAGCGTAAAGGCGCGAGCGAAGGTTACAAGTTACATGCGTCTAAAGACCGCGGAAAATTTGGTGAGTGAGGAGGGAGCCAAGAAGGCGAAGACGTGCAGAGTACGTTTCGTCGGGTTATCGGTAGTCCCTTGGGCCCTGTTCTGATCTTCGGTGACTTGCATCTGGTGTTTTTCTTCCTCTCCCGTCCAAGGCCCATCCCTCTTTCGCCATATTTAGAGCATCTCAAGATTCTTGGGGTGGTCAGGATTTTAGGTGCAGAGCTGTGTTCGAGGCGCGGCGACCCCTGTGATCTGATCATGGCAGAATCGCTCGATTGGGATATACGAGTGTACGAGGCCTGAGATCGCAGTACGCGGCGCAAGACGTGGCTGCGTGTATCGTGAGTTTTTTGTCAGCATCACTAAGACGTTGCCGCCCTGACCAGGTGGACAGAACGCCAGACACGCACACATCGGACAGCGGTCGAAAAGTTTCCCCAGACCCGCGTCGTGGCTCAGTTCAAGCGCCCACATTCCGCGTATAGAGGTCCTTTTTTGAGTTCGGCAGATGTCAAAGAAAAAAGGGGACTCCGAGAAGGGGCCAGACGGCATCGCACTCGCAGAAAGCTGAGGACACACGGCCGGCGGAGGGCGAGAGCCGGCTGTCCTGGAGACTTTCGTCCGTGCCGAAAACCAAAAAGATTGTCCCCACTGGATGGGCTCGCGCCGAATACCGCAGGCCTTTGCCCCCCCCCCCCCCCCTTCTCCCGCGCAATCTGTTCTCAGCACGGGAGACGTACGTAATCACAGCTTCTCCCCCCTGGAAGTTGTCTCGTCTGGAGTAGTCCCGTCCCGAGCCCTCGAGTGTATCGTCTGATGTGGTTCGAGACGTCCCAAGATCCGAGCCCGTGGCGGGGTCGACCGGCCAGTCGTCAGTCAGTCGTCAGTCGTCCAAGGGCGAGTAAACGCTTAGCCGTGGATGGGCCCCCCGCGGCGTTGATGACTGTCATCGTTCGTTGAAACTGACACCAACCTCATTCAGGGTCCAATGCCGCTGCCTGTCTCCCTGTATCTCTGCGATTTTGACTTTGCACGTCTCACCGCACCAACGGAGCTGGCTTCTGCTTCGAGCTATGGATGAGGTCTCGACCTCGATCGTCTTTGCTTCTTCTTGTCAACCTCGTCTCCACCCCAAAAGCTCGAGCTCGAGCTCGAGGGGTCTCCAAAGATTATACTTTGTTCTTTTCTTGGCGCTTGTTTCCATGAGGCTCTGCATCACCACGCCCGAGGGGTTGAACGAAGTAATCGCCGAGGTTTGATATTAGGTGTACGAGTATAGTGTGTGTGTTGTTTCCCATAACGCACACCACGGAGATGGCTTCCACTTCGGGAAAAACGTCTCGCCGCCTTTGCACCCCGGGACCCAGATTTTATGGTTTGGCCATTCCGGACTCTTTGAGATTGTGTGAGGCTCTGCTGTGCCGTGATCGCCGGAGGTCGAGGGGGACTCGGGAGCTTGCAGGTCTCCGAAGAGCATGGTTCAATGTCGCCGGAGTCGCGCCGTGTTCAACTTTGACAATGCTTGCTGAGTTGCCGCTACCGCACTAGATATGCCGATGAAAATGTGTCTAATATACCGTACCCCTTGTTTCGAGTCCAACCCGCTGTTATGTAGATCTGGACCAGCGGTCGGGACACATACGATGTGGCCCGTCGTCGCCTTTGGCCAAGCCGGCATCCGCAAATCCACGCCCTCCCGCTGGATGTACCCAAGAACCCCCACACCCATTTCCATCTCCAACGCACCCAAACTCCCATGTTCGCATAACCTGACGCTGTGACGTGGCCGATCGATCAACTTGCCTTCCCATGTCCATGGCAGAGTCGACCGTTTTCGAAATATTTGCAAAGCTCCCCGTTCGTCAAAGACGGAGATGAAAGAGACGCCTAGAGGAATAACGGAACGCCAAGGAGATATCATCAGTCCGCCTCGGCTAATTGCATGATCAGCCTGGCCGCCATGTCCAGGAACGGGAAGGGGCTTGTGACGTCCTTCTCCTCGAGCAGCCTCCTATCAGCTGTCTCGTACCCAGAGCACTTGAAGTCCACAAGGTAGACCCCGTGTTCCATCTCGTAAATCTGAATGTCCAAGTGCAACGCCACAAAGTCCCGCTTGACATTGTCGTCTCCAACGACATGGTAGCTGTCTGGAGTCTTGGATCCCTCGGTAGGAGTAGTCGATGTCTTGTGCAATGCTATGGAGACTTAATAACATACAACCAGGTCATGAGCGTTGGCAACTTACTTGATGTTTCCCATCGAACATTGATATGCCACGGGTCGGCTGGAAGCTTGTACCTCTTGAGAGGGTCGATGCTTGCCGTTGAGTCGTTGGCCCCCTGGGATGCATAGTCGTCAACAAAGCTGCCCTCGTTGCTAGGCTGGTCTGCCTCCGAGCCATGCATCTTTTCGTAGTCCTCGTCTGGGACGTAGGTCGCCCCCAGCTTGTTAAGCGCTTTGTGGATACAGAGGAGAGCTTCCCAAGGGGCGTTGCGAGATCGAATACCAAACTGCCACCGGACCGGTTTTGTCTTCTTAGTTGTAGTCACCGGAGTCATGCTCTGTGGCCGTGTCTTGGAGTCGTCGAGCCGGACTTGGCTTCGAGAATGAGGCTTCAGGTGGCGGGCAGTCTCTTCCCTCTCGGCGTCTGTGCGAGACGCGGAGGGCTCGTCGACCACAATCGTAGGAGTCGGGTGGTCCACGATGCCTGCCTTCGCACGCTCTATATACTCCTTATGATAGGTTGGCAAACTGCTGGGTAGGATACCGATCTTGCTGATGTACGGCCGCTGTACACTGACGCCGGATGCACCAGACCTCGCTGACGATGCGCTTGGAAGCGGGCTATTTGAGTCCTGATCGACGGAAAGTGATGACATAGCCTCTGTACGAGAGGATGGGTCAGAACTTATGCTAGTCCCGTGGGGTCGGATCTGCTTACCATTCACCTGCATGAGCTTATTCTCACGAACAATCATGTAGGCGTCCTTGATAGCCGAGGGCTCCGCGGCTTGCAGGGCCTCCTCGACATCCTTCTTTCCATAACCCATGGTCTTACTGATCTTCTCCGTGACCTCATTGTGAAGCTTCTCTTGGACTTTGGGAGGAGCGTTGGGGGCGATGTCGCTCTTCTGGATGGCCTTGTTAGGATCCACGCCCGTATTGTAGAACTCCTCCACAGGGGGTGCAAGGTATGGCGGCAAGTCGGTCATGAACCAAGGGTCCTGTCGGATGTCCTCGATGGTGGCACGTTGCACGGGGTTTACGACTAGCATCTTCTTGATCAAGGTCGCGGCGCCAGCGTTCATCCACTGGGGAATGCTGTAGGTACCGCGGGCGATCTTGGCAAACAAGCTGGGGATGTGCTCGTCGTCGAACGGCAACCTGCCCACCAGCAAGACATAGAGGATCACGCCACAACTCCACACATCTACCTCGGGGCCAGCGTAAAGCTTCCCGCCAATCACTTCTGGAGCGGCATAGTTGGGACTTCCGCAACTTGTCTTGAGAAAGTTTCCGTCCGTCATGATGTTACTCAGCCCAAAGTCGGCAATCTTGACGTTCAGGTTGTCATCCAGCAATAGGTTCTCAGGTTTCAAGTCTCGGTGAACGATTTTGTGGCGATGGCAGTACTCGACGGCGCAGAGCATCTGTTGGAAGAATCGGCGAGCCTCGGGTTCCTTCATGCGCCCATTCTGTACGATGTAGTCGAAGAGCTCGCCGCCGGCGTATTCGAGGACCATGATGATCTCATTTGGTGTCTTGATCACAGTATATCTGAGAACGCGCGGGTCAGCCAGGGGGTTCGGCGATAAGAGCAGTTTGCTTGCATGTGACATACAACTTGATAATATGAGGGTGTCGCAGGAGCTGCAGATATTCGATCTCGCGCTCGACGCGACCAGCCATGTCTCTGCTGATGAGCTTCTTTCTGGCGATGATCTTGAGCGCGACCTGTTGGCCGGTGCCATTATGAATAGCCAGCTTGACCTTTCCGAAGGAGCCCTCGCCGAGTGTCTTGATGATCTTGTAGGCGCCGATACGCTGCTCCGTCTTAATCTTGTCCCGCAGCGGGGCGGTGGTATCGATCGGAGGAGCCATATTGAGGGCGTCGGGTGGTTGAAGGTGGTCGTGAGCTCCGGCGGCGGCGGCGGCGGCGGCACCAGCGGCGGCACCGTGCTGCTGGGAGCGTCGACGGATCTGGGAGGGCGAGAGGCTGATATGGAGCTCCTCCTCGTCGAAGCCGGAAGCCATGTTGTCGGTCGGGGGGAGGGGGGGCTCAGGTCGTTTTTGTTTAAATGGGCTGTGGCCGGAGCAAGCCTTGGACTTGGACCACACAAGTGGGCATGACGAAGTTGGATTGTGGAGGGGAACATCGACGGGTGGAGGGCTGCCAAGAAGCTCACTGGTTCGCGGCAGACCTTTTTTTCTCCTCGCCAGCGGGCACGTTTGGGCAGTCCAGGCACCTCAGGAGCACCTCAGAAGCGCCTTACAGACAGGCTGCCCACCCGCTGTGGTGGGGAGATGAGCCGGTCTGTGCATTTTCGCTACCTTTTCGGGCTGCCTTTTGGGGGAGATGGAGGGGCAGCTTCCCACTGCCCACAGGGCATCCGGCGTCTCTCAGTGGACAGCGATATTGTTTACAGCAGTCGGGGGCCGCTGTAATTGGTGGGACCATTCTTCGTGGAATCGGCGCGAATCAGCCACCATACCATTGGGCCACCACCCAGTCAGTTGTCCTGGAAGCTGCAGTTCTGTCCGAATCATGGCCCGATTCCATCACGCATGTTGGGCTCGCCATGGCCGCTTGCAAAGCGCATTCAATCAAAAATGGTTGAGCTCGAAGAATGCCGTTGCCTGTCACATCTTGCCCCCTCAGAATTTCCCCCAATGGTGGTGAGCATACGGTTGAGAAGTGACAGATCATAATGGAAGCTGAGTGAGCCGACGCGCCTGAATGCCCTGAACCGTCTCATGATCGCTTAAAGGTTGTCTTGCATGTGAGAATAAGGTAGTCGTCAACGGCCAGCGTCGATCAGATGACAGCTCTGCCAAAGCCCTCCACTACCAGCAACAATATTATTGCCAATCATAGCTGGTACCGTAGCTGAAGAGAAGTCTTGTACAATCTGTTTCGTTTCTTGCCTAGCATGACCTCTCTCCATTGCGACCCTTCGATACACCACTACTCCCAATTTCCCTTGACTCAAGGAAAATGAGCCCAATGATCGTCGTGGTCTGCAGGTCATCTCGATGACAGGCCTGCAACTTCATACAAGGCACTGCAGCGTCTCCACGCCGGCTAAATTCCCCAAAATAGCTCAAGGAGCGTGGTTCCCTGTGTCCCGATATCGCCAAATGCCCTCACATTGCGTATTAATCAACTTGTCAGTCCAGCATTGCCGCGAGAGCACATAGTGCCTGGCTTGTATCTGCAGGGGTGTCCCAACCGAGAAAACTCAACCGACGGTCTGGAGAGCATGCATGCGTTCGCTTCCATTTGGACTCCTTTCGTCCACGTACAGCGGGAGTTGAACACGGGGTTGTGCGGGGTGGAACTCAGTCTGCAGGACAGAAGAATCTGCAGCGACTCCGGTTCCGAGGTTAAGAGGATAACTCACGATCCCCTCCGGGTGCTTGTTCCTTGCTCCAAAACCAAGCCAAGTGGAGGTGAGTGGATGCTCAGAATCCGCGGAGCTACCTACTACCCAACCCCTTCGTCCAAGGTTGCAGCGGATCCCAAGAGTAGCAGAATCCGGCGAAAAGGATGAGATCGTCTTGCGCAAGCTGCTGTGAATCAAACACCCTGTCCTGGGTTGCCAGTCATGATAGGTGCGAGGTACCTAAAATCACACGTCGAGTTACAGTACTGTACAAGTCGAAGTTGACCACTGGGCGCTTGTATAGCGTCAATTTTGCAGGTCTATCAAGGCTATCGTGCCTTATCCTTCTCGTCTTCTTGTCGGAGCCTCTCCTTCAGCTTGTCTGTGAGGTAAGGACTAAGTCCGAGCCTGCAGATTGTCAGATGAGTTCATCTCAACTTTTCTCGCCAGAACAGGCAACTCACATTCCCTCATTGGTGATGATCCGATAGGTGCCGCTAGGTTCGAGGTTGCCAATGATGTTTCCGCTCTGATCAACCTCAACGCTGCCCAAAATGTCTTCGGGCCAGGCAATACGGCCAAAGTCTGGAGGTTTTCTCGAGTCGCTCAGGTGGACGTAACCGCCGTGTCCTCCTCCTCCAGCGCCGCCCTGGCCGCTCGCGCCCCCAGCACCGCTTCCTCCGGCGCCACCACCGCCGCCGACCTTGCGCGAGCCTCTTTTGCTCTTCTGCGCAAAGAAGGCGCCTCCGGATCCCAGGTTGGCTCCGCCAGGGCCGGCAAATGCAGCTGCCTGTGCGAGCAGGTCCTTATCCTTGTGCGCATGCTCAGCGAGGACCTCGTAGAGGATCTTCGTAAACGTTCCGTTCTCGATGAATGACTGCGGCGTGGGAGGATCCCTCGTAGAAAAGCCAATGGCTATTCTTTGGTTGGGCGGCTCATCTTCGAGGAATGACAGAAGGAAGGAAGCTCGCGACGCATCCGCAGGGAACACTTTCTACGGCGTTTGGTCAACTTACAACTGTAAGAATTGCGGCGACGAGAATACAAGATTTACTCACAATAGATGGGTTTGACGCCAAACTAGAGACAGAGCGCAAGAAGGAATTTCTGTACCTCGGGAGGAAGCGGGCTGCTGGGGCCAACATTTTGAGCAATTGTGGTGCAGAGCATGCGACCGTTGAATGCACTTCGCCTTACCTTTGAAGCTTTTTCGTCGAGGTGACAGCTCCCACTCCTCCACCCAATGATGACGGCATGTTGGAGTCGCGAGGGGGAGCTGCAGCCGCAGGGAGCGCACAGTCGTAGAACGTCCAATTGGGGGGAGTGTAGCGCATGGACCCTGGCGCGGTTGAGGGACACTGCGTACACGCGCTCGACTTTCGAAAACGCGGTACGAGACGCGTCTCAATTAAACATTCCCAGTCCACGACAAGTGACGAGCATCGACACCTCTGCGATCCATGGCGACAGTCGCATCTTGACAACGCAATTGACGCCTTCTCCTTCGATCAATCCCAAACTCGACCTCACAGAAAATGGATCCTCCACCGTCGATCTCTCCAAAGCGGAAGCAGGTGCCTATGACCAACATCTTGAACACCAAGACACCTGCCCCTCCTTCGTCGTCCGCGATACCCTCGTCCTCTCCCGCATTCGGCACTCCAGTACACCCGCTCAAGCCCTTCAAGGTTTCTGCGCCAACGAAGCATGCCATCCTTCCCATCATTCTGCCACCAGCCACTCTCAGACCCCTTGCCTTCCGAACGTTTACGAAAAAGCACAGCTTGACTCTCACGTCAACGGCGCTTCAAGAACTCGCAACATTTATAGGCCGGCATTGCGGCTCAGGGTGGCGTGAAGAGGGGCTGGCCGAGAAGGTTCTTGAGGAGGTGGCCAAGTCCTGGAAGAATCGAAATGGCGGCGTTATTGTTGATGGAGCGAGTTCGGAACTCAAGGACATCTTAAAGACCTTGGAGGGCAACATGAGCGGGGGCAAGATCGTCACTGGTGCAAGGGGTTTGAGTCGGCAGAACAGTCTTCTTCTCGAGCCTGGCCAGGACGCAGACTTTTCAAGCACGAGATTGGGTCTACGGCCGGCGCAATCTGCTTTGGTACGGGAGGACAGCCAACAAAGCCTTGGCATATCAAATCTTGGCGTCGAGGAGGAGGAGGACGACGACAACGTGAAAGATGCCAGGAAATGGCTCAAGGTTATCGACGCCTACGAGCAACCCAGGTTCTCTTACAACGTAGCCAAGAAGCATTTCGAAAGGTGAGCGCCCTTCTCCGTTGGCTCCAGCAAGCTTTCTGACCAGATTCGCAGGGAGACTTCGAAGCCGTCTTTACTGCCATCGGCGTCGCACAAGACCGCCCTATTTCGAAACAGATATAATGTCATCCACCAAAGGTTACTACGGAATGAGTCCTTCCAGACATCGGCCGTGGCGAGCGCAAGAGCGCCGTCGCTCAAGCGCTCGTTATCAAACCAACAGAACCACAAGATTACCCCGATCGCAAACATGCTGGGCCGGCACGGCAGCCATCACATGCTTCTCGGCATGCTGAACGTGCTACCAGCAGGAGGGCTTGCCATAAGTGATCTAACAGCTACCATCGCCCTAGACCTATCTCAAGCTGTTGCGATTCCTGAAGATTCGGCCTGGTTTACCCCGGGCATGATTGTACTGGTGGACGGCGTTTACGAAGAGGAAGAAGAGTCAGTTGGCAAAGGCTTGAGCGGGAGCAGTGGTGTTGGTGGCACCCTAGGTGGCAGATTTCAAGGTTTCTTCATCGGACAGCCGCCATGTGAGAAAAGGAAAGCGACACTGGGCGTCAGCGGACCCGACGGTGGACAGGACCACACTATAGGAGGTGGATTCGGCTGGATTGACTTCCTCGGTGTTGGCAGTGAACGAGCGGTTGGGGCACGCATGCGAAAACTTGAACAGCGTCTGCTTCCCCGTCACTCCGCCGAAGAGGTTCCTAGTCGTGGTAGGATGATCATTCTTGGCGAGGTGAACCTCGATCAGCCGCGAACACTGCAAGCGATGCGCAAGATTCTGGCCCTATACGCGGCTGAGCCTGAAGGCTCCAGTCCGATGACTTTCATCGTCACCGGTAACTTCACGCAGCACGCCGTCCTCGCTAGGGGTGGCAGCGGCGGCAGCATCGAATACAAGGAATATTTCGACGCCCTAGCGTCGACGCTCTCGGACTATCCCACTCTTCTTCAGTCATCAACCTTCGTCTTCGTCCCAGGGGATAATGACGGCTGGGTTTCCTCCTTCACAGCAGGCGCTGCGACACCGTTGCCTCGGAAAGCCGCGCCGGACGTCTTCACCTCCCGTATCCGCCGTGCATTCGCCGCCGCAAATGCAGAACTCGGCGCCAAGGGGGATGGGGAAGCCATCTGGACGTCCAACCCTAGCCGTCTGACGGTGTTTGGCCCGAACCATGAGGTTGTTGTCTTCCGCGACGACATTTCAGCCCGTCTCCGCCGCACAGCCGTACGTCTCAAGACCTCTAGACAGAAGGAGGGAGAAGAGGGAGACGACGAGAACGCGGCAGCGGACGACGTTGTCATGGCGGGCAGCGACCCCGTGGAAGAAGGAGATGGCGCTATGGATGTGGACATACCGAGTGAGAAGCCTGCCGCCAAGGAGGTCGCATCGAGCCTTTCACAGGATATCCACACGGCGCGGAAGCTTGTCAAGACAGTGTTGGATCAGGGATACCTCGCACCATTCCGCCAGGCTATCCGCCCTGTGCACTGGGACTATGCCACAGCACTGCACATCTACCCGCTACCAACATCCATGGTTTTGGTCGACACAACAGCACCTCCTTTCTGCGTCACATACGAAGGTTGCCACGTAATGAATCCCGGCAGTATCTTGGTTCCTGGCAGAACACGCGTTGGCCGGTGGATAGAGTACGAGATTGGCAAGATTGGACGGCTGAGAGAGACTACGTTTTAACAAGGAAATCTGCCGGAGGTAATTCGTGGTTTCTCCTAGGGAAGTTCAATGGGCTCAAGCATAGGCCGGCGTTATGGGTGTAACGACTGATGCAGCTAGTTGGGATAGAAAGATATCCTGCAATACGTTTCAATACCATACTTGACCACGCATAAACACTTTCTTTTCTCAACGTCCGGTGGCTTTGAGGCGTCTCCCTGCGAGACTACACATCTTTTCTTCCTTTCCGTCGGAGTCAGAATGGGAGGCGGAGCGGAGTGGGATGAGACGGGCAGTGTCCGAATGGTGGCTGACGTTGTCATCGTTTTACTTATACGTGCGGGCTGGCATTGGCCACCTCCTCCTGTTGCTGCGGAGTAGAGGTCCGTAGTCGGCAGGTCGGGTCGGACAGGACGTGGTGTGACCGAATGCTGCCTTTGCAAGTCGCCGAGGTGTGGTCGAGTCTTGGCAGGCACAGCGACATCTCAGTGGAAGGTCACAAATCAGCTTGCCCCGAGGTGGCATTCAGTCTGCACCCAACAAGACACGGTGGGAGAACAATGGGAGAAGCAAGCATGCTGCGAACGCACACCGCAGTTTGGCCGCAGGCGACGAACATGCCGCATGAAAAGACCAGACGGAGTGTCGGAGTACGTCTTCATTACATGAGCCTTGTCCCTGAAGTTTGATGTCAAAGCTGTAGGACAATGTTTACCTAATATGCTGAGGATAGCCAGTTGACACGAACAAATTAGTTTCTGTACTTGAACCGTAAAAACTAAGGACGATTTCGAGTCGTGGAGCTGTCAATGTCTTGGGGAGGAAGTTGCCACTGCTGCCGTTTGGGGGAGTTGCACAGGGAAGCTTGGGCCCACGGTTCAGATTTAGCGTTGAGACTGGTTGGTCCTCGAGGTATTGGGTGGGGCTAGCTGTGTGCCGTCGTTGGCTAGTGTCGTTGCCGCCCACCGCCTTACCGGCTTCCACCCGTACGGATGCCCTGCAGCGAGGCGAGATGGATCCCAGCGTGGGGGGAGACCACTGAAAAGCAACGCGCGATAGCGTCATCCGGATATCGCTGGAGAAGGAGACCAGAACTTGGAACTGAATAGTCCCCTTTCGAAATCTTGTTCATCTCGGGCAAAATCCCCTCACTCCTCGAGGAAAATAACTGTAGAGATCGCACCGCTTGCACATCACTCTGACATCGCCGGAAAGTTCAGACAAACCAACGAAACGAGACCTGGATGCTGAAAACGTACTTGCGCACCTTGCTGCACCTACCTGACAGTACCTTGCCTTGGCTCTACCACCTTCACACCACCCGCTCACTTTAAGGCGGCAGGCACCCTTCCCCTTCCCCTGTTCGCTGTCAGCCGTAGGAAGCTTTTGCCAACTTTACAGCCCGAGCCCGTCAAGAGAGAGAGACAGCTTGGTTGGTTTCGAGACAGCATCGACCCCCCATCCCACGCCGCCCCTTGTCTCTTTCCTTCCCCAATCCGTGGCCTCGTGACGCCGGCTCTCACACACCCCAATCTCCCCCCATTTCTCTCACCATCCGACAACGCAGCCACGACGAGACGTAGCAAAGAGTATTATTATTCCTGTCCTAAGGATATCCTGAAAATTCACCTCCGGCCGGTGACAGCATCCTTCCGCCCACCGGCCGCACCTTCATTCCCTCTTACCGCCAATTGATCATCTCGAGCGCACCCCGCGTTTGTTATCTATCAATCGCCGCAGACCTTCCCCGCCGAGAGCCATTCCGACCATGTCTTCTCCAACCCAACGCCGCCATCGCGGCTCGACCACCGACGCTGGTGTCTTCGACGATGCCAAAACCTACTACACCTCTGACGACCGTCACAACAACCGTGCCGGCCCTCGAACTCGAACCTACTCCCAGGTACGACCCCAATTTCGCCGACATCCTTGACCGCCTGTGTTCCGTGACGGTTGCTCCTGCAAGGATGAGCTAACTCGTGTACAGAACAGCTTGTTCAAGCAATTCGAGCGTATTGGACTGCGTGAACCCTTCCGCCGCGGCAGCCATGGCAAGTTTGACCTCACGCCATCCAGAACGCACTTCCGGGGCCCATTGGCTGACTGTGAATATTACAGACGAAGCTTCCATTTCCAGCGGTCGAAAGTTCCTCATCAATGTCGACGAGACCCTGGAGAGCTTGCAAGCCCAGGAAGACACCGATGGAAACATGCAGATCACCATTGAGGACAACGGCCCAAAGGTATACGAATATCTTCTCTCCACGTCAGGCCACTTAAGCTTACGTATCCACACAGGTACTTGCGCTGAGAACTGCCGCCTCTGCCGGCCACAACCGATTCGATGTCCGAGGAACATACATGCTCTCCAACTTGTTGCAGGAGCTCTCACTCGCCAAGGAGTATGGACGCAAGCAAATCATCCTCGACGAGGGACGACTGAACGAGAACCCCGTGAACCGCTTGTCTCGCCTCATCCGCGACCACTTTTGGGACGGTCTGACCAGACGAATCGATGCTTCGAGTGTGGAAATCGCGGCCAAGGACCCCAAAGACTGGACGGACGACCCTCGCCCGCGCATTTATGTTCCTGTGGGAGCGCCGGAGCAATTCGAGTTTTACACCAAGGTCGCCAAGGAGAGACCGGAGATCCGCCTGGATGTTCAGCTACTTCCCGAGGTTATCACCCCGGAGCTGGTCCGCGACATGAATGCTAAGCCTGGTCTCCTTTGCGTCGAGATGGAAAAGATCAAGGATCCTGTGACAGGCGAGGACACGCTCAGGGGCTTGCCTTTCGTCGTGCCCGGAGGACGCTTCAACGAGCTGTACGGCTGGGACAGTTACATGGAGTCCCTGGGACTCCTGGTTAACGACAAGGTCCATCTCGCCAAGTCAATGGTGCAAAACTTCTGCTTTTCCATCCGTCACTACGGCAAGATTCTGAACGCCACTCGCTCCTACTATCTCTGCCGTTCTCAACCTCCATTCCTTACCGACATGGCTCTCCGTGTCTACGAGAAGATCAAGCATGAGCCTGATGCCAAAGAGTTCCTGCGTACATCCATGCTGGCCGCCATCAAGGAGTACCACAGTGTCTGGGTTTCTGAGCCGCGCCTGGACCCCGTCACTGGCCTTTCTCGGTACCGACCCGAGGGATTGGGAGTGCCTCCCGAGACGGAAGCTGGTCACTTCGTTCACGTTCTCGAGCCGTATGCTGAGAAGTACGGCATGAGCTGGCAGGAGTTTGTGCAAGCCTACAACCACGGAAAGATTAAGGAGCCTGAGCTTGATGAATACTTCCTTCACGACAGAGCTGTCCGCGAGTCTGGCCACGACACATCGTACCGTCTCGAGAAGGTTTGCGCTAACCTCGCGACCATCGACCTGAACTCACTCCTGTTCAAGTATGAGACGGATATTGCGCGCACCATCCGCAATGTGTTCAACGATAAGCTCGTCATTCCCGCAGAGTTCGCTGTTGGTCCGCTCAAGGCTGGTGAGGTGGTTACGTCGGCCATTTGGGACCGCCGCGCAAAGCGCAGAAAGCTCGCCCTCGACAAGTACCTCTGGAACGAGGAGGAAGGCATGTACTTCGACTACGACACCGCTAAGAAGGAGCGGTGCACGTACGAAAGCTGCACGACTTTCTGGGCGCTGTGGGCAGGCGTTGCCTCGCCCAAGCAGGCAGCGGACATGGTGCAGAAGGCCCTCCCCAAGTTCGAGGCGATTGGCGGTCTCTTGTCGGGTACGCTGAAGTCTCGTGGTGAAGTCAGCTTGGAGAGACCTAACCGACAATGGGACTACCCCTACGGCTGGGCTCCTCAGCAGATGCTCGCCTGGACCGGACTGGTGCGATACAGCTTCAATGAGGAGGCCGAGCGTCTGGCGTACAAGTGGTTGTTCATGATGACTAAGGCTTTCGTTGACTTCAACGGAGTCGTTGTTGAGAAGTACGACGTTACTCGCCCAATCGATCCCCACAGAGTGGACGCCGAGTACGGAAACCAGGGTCTGGATTTCAAGGGCGTTGCCAAGGAAGGGTGAGTCTTTGTGTCGTTGCTATTCTTTGAGCAGGTTGTTAACTTTTGACAGATTCGGATGGGTCAACGCCAGCTACGTTTACGGTCTGCAGATTGTAAACGCCCACATGCGTCGTGCCCTGGGCACGCTCACCCCGTACGATACCTTCATCAAGGCCATTGAGCAGAACAACGAGAAGTCCCTTGCAGAGCTGGCCTGAGTATGGCCGGAGTGCTAAGGGGGGGAGAGTGTGTTCTCTCGTGGACGCATTAGACTGGTACAAACGGTACAGCTTCCGGCGTAAATTCGTTCATATCGCATCGGTGGGCCAAGAGAGTTGTGCATTCAATTGCTATTCGATTTGTACCGCGGCATTCTGGGGGTTGTATGTCGGTATTCGGAGTTGAAGAATGATTTGGCTACGCGTGGTGATGCCGTTGGATGGATGAATGAATGAATGGCTGGGTGGCGGAGGGATCTGGAAGCTCATCAAAACAGGCTAGACTGGCTGCGAAGCCGAACTAGATATCCGCCCAATGCGATCAATCCTGGATAAACTGACATGGTATTCACGAAGAAAATGGGATGAAATGAGGGGAAATAGGGAGCCCAGCACATGTAGATCGGGCAACTTCCGTGAGCTTGAGGTCCTTTGGAGCATATTGAAGCTGGTGGTTGGCAACATGGCAGGGTGGCTTGAGCCGTTCGGCAGGGTACATGTGACTGACATGAGGACATTCAGAGCATGGACGTAGGGTGATTCCGGGTTGTCCTCGTTTGAACGGCTAGACTCGTCGGAACACAGTGTGAGAGGGCCGAGGCATCTTTCAAAGGTTGGAGTCGCAAGGTTGGGGAAGGTGTGACGCACGCCACGAAGCGTGATCGGCTTCGGGAGCGCCAGTGCCAATCGCGACGACTCAGAGCAATTCTTCACATGCTAGACAACCGCTACACTACCCCGCAAGATTTTGGGACAGGACTCGGCCACGCTGGTTAGACATGGCCTTATTTTATTCCATTTCATCTGGTCAGCTGCAGTTTGTCTGGATTGCAATCCACGAGCATGGAGAAAACGTTTCCTCAATCATGTCACACAGTTGGATGGGAAATCCGGGGCGGTCTGAACCATCGGGCACGGGTGAAGATGGGGCTGCATCATCGGAATCGGCAGACGTCAACGTTTGCTTGCCGTTGCAGAATTATTTCCCATGGTCCGGGGACGGGTACAGTCACAGCTGTCGGGTCAGTTCCTGGAGGATGAACCATTAGCAGGTGCGTTGGAAGAGGTAGCTGGCATTGCATGAGGTGCTGCTGCTGTCTGTTCACCCCCAGTCTTTCCCCCAGGTACCGGAGGCATGGCGGGGCACGGCGGGGGACATGCAAGGAGCTTCGGCAACTCGGCCAATGACGGCAATGAGGAAGTAGCTGAGTTTCGCCCCATCCGTCCCCTTTGAGCCGAATCCAGACGTCACCCCTTTCTCCCATACCTACGCATACGAGTACATCACACTGACACTGGCGCGCCTCACTCACCTCACCTTACCTGGTGACTGCGCCTGGCATGTCATCACTCGCTGTGGAAAAGGTAGATAGGTACATACGCCAAACACGCCAGTAGGCCAAGCATTCCCCCACGTCGTCAGTTGTCTCTAGTCTGCGGGAAGGCAAGAAGAGCATGCAGATATGTACAAGGTACTTTCGGCTGGATTCCGTCCTCGTCTATTTTCAGTTCCGAGGTCTGTTTTACCACACGGTCCTGCCTCCCGGCCAAGGAAAGCTATCGATACATGCTATGCTCAAAGCTACTGGACCTGAGTCGTTCTCACCTCCTCTCACACTGTCCAGCTCCTGGCCTGGGCCTAGGTAAGAGGTACCTTCCTCGAAACAGATGTAAGACGATTGGGCCAGGAACGCCTTTTGGCCGAAGACTGCCGATGGGCGGTCATGGCAAGCTAGTGCTGGTTCTTTATTGTTATTGCCTTACCTTTGGCTTGTGACTCTTACAGGATTGACTTTTTTTTTCTTTTCTTTCCCATCTTCTCCAAGTCTTTTTCTCTCTTCTCGAACCCGTCTGCCATTGATTGAGTTGTGAATAGCATCATTAGTCTGGTGCCAATCGTCTAGTTCCACGTATCTTGCTACTTGCGACTTCACCGAACTGCCACTCGTCTTATTTCATACCGCGCCGAGCATCTCTAGCTGCTCCCTCTCGGAATAACTTCGTCTACTACACAAAACTCAAGTTGCCCATCATGGCTGCCAACAACATGGTTAACCCCGCCGTGGACCCCGACCGCGAAGACGAGCTCTTCCTCAAGGAGGTCGAGGAGGTCAAGCGCTGGTGGAGCGAGCCCCGTTGGAGATTCACGAAGCGTCCCTTTACCGCTGAGCAAATCGTTAGCAAGAGAGGACACCTGAAGGTCGACTACCCGAGCAACGCGCAATCAAAGAAGCTATTCGACATCCTGGAGAACCGCTTCAAGACAAAGGACGCCAGCTACACTTACGGTTGCTTGGAGCCCACAATGGTCACCCAAATGGCCAAGTACCTCGACACTGTCTACGTCTCCGGCTGGCAATCATCGTCAACCGCCTCCGCCTCTGACGAGCCTGGCCCGGATCTGGCTGACTACCCCTACGTGAGTGTCGACTTGCGTCGTCCAAATAAGGAGTGCCTTGCTTACCCGTCGTGCAGACCACCGTGCCCAACAAGGTTGCCCACCTGTTCATGGCGCAGCTTTTCCACGACAGGAAACAGCGTCAAGAGCGCCTCAGCGTTCCGAAGGAGGCCCGAGCCAAGCTCGCCAACATTGACTACCTCAGACCCATCATCGCCGACGCCGACACCGGTCACGGCGGTCTGACCGCTGTGATGAAGCTCACCAAGCTCTTTGTCGAGAAGGGTGCTGCTGGTGTTCACATTGAGGATCAGGCCCCTGGCACTAAGAAGTGCGGCCACATGGCCGGCAAGGTCCTTGTCCCCATCAGCGAGCACATCAACCGCCTCGTTGCCATCCGCGCGCAGGCCGACATCATGGGCTCCAACCTGGTCGCTGTCGCCCGAACTGACGCCGAGGCCGCTACCCTGATCTCCACCAACATTGACCCCAGAGACCATGCCTTCATTCTCGGCTCCACGAACCCCAACCTTCAGTCCTTGAACGACCTCATGTTCGCAGCAGAAAAGGCGGGCAAGCTCGGCGACGAGCTTCAGTCCATTGAGGATGCCTGGCTGAAGCAGGCGAACCTCAAGCGCTTCGACGAGGCCGTGGTCGACGCCATCAAGGCCAGCCCCAGCCCGAACAAGGAGAACATGATCAAGCAGTACACTACTGCCGCCAAGAGTAAGAGCAACACTGAGGCCCGCGCCATTGCCAAGAGCGTCGTTGGTAGTGATGTTTTCTTCGACTGGGATGCGCCCCGTACGCGCGAGGGCTACTACCGCCTTAAGGGCGGATGCGACTGCGCCATCAACCGTGCCATCGCCTACGCTCCTTACTGCGACGCAATCTGGATGGAGAGCAAGCTTCCCGACTTCAAGCAGGCGCAAGAGTTTGCTCAGGGTGTCCACGCCGTTTGGCCCGAGCAAAAGTGAGTTCAACCTTACCCCGTAGTGATTTCAAAACTAATTAGTGCCTTTTTCAGGCTCGCTTACAACCTGTCGCCCTCTTTCAACTGGAAGACGGCGATGCCCCGCGCCGAGCAGGAGACTTACATCCGCCGCCTGGCGTCCCTCGGCTACTGCTGGCAATTCATCACCCTCGCCGGCTTGCACACGACCGCGCTCATCAGCGACAAGTTCGCCAAGGCCTACAGCAAGCAGGGCATGCGTGCCTACGGAGAGCTTGTCCAAGAACCCGAGATGGAAGGAGGCGTCGATGTGGTCAAGCACCAGAAGTGGAGTGGTGCGACATACGTCGACGAGCTTCAAAAGATGGTCACCGGTGGCATCAGCAGTACCGCTGCCATGGGTAAGGGTGTGACTGAGGATCAGTTCCACTAGATCGGACTACAGCGTTTGAGAATTATCGTTGCACGCATTGGATAAGGACAGTATTCCGTAGGCTGTACGTTGGATATGTATCTAAGCAATTTGGCACAGGGCCGGTAGCATGTCATTGACTTGATTCTGTTCACACATCCACTGCCACTAACGCAGAGACGAACGCGAAGGTGACATTGTGATTACCGAGGCATCTCCGATATGCCCCGTTGGCTCTGATCACACGCAGCTCCACAGCTCCGGCTCGGGCTTACGGAGGCCAGGCCGGGTGCGCCCGGATGGATCCACAATGATGTTCGTCTGTTTCCAGGGTTGGCAACTTTGACATCCCGGCCGGGTCCACATGCTTGGAGGTTCGACACCTCCGTGAGTGCGCCTGACACATCAGCGCCGTTGTGTTTGTTCTGCTCTAGACGAGAAGTTGAATCAAGGTTACGAATTCGACTCGCTCCCTGACAGGTTTGGAGCGTATCTAAAGCCCGGAATCATAAGAAGACAGCACCACTCGTTCGGGATTCGTCGATGTCTGCTCGTAAAGTCACTTGCACTTGTCTATTCATCTGGGTAAATCTCTGTGCCAACCGATCAGGTGAGATCATTATTTATATTTAGCTACTCAAATTAGCGGTTCTCGATGAAATCCCACAGGCCTGCTGGTTTGTATTTATCGCCGTATCAGGGCTAATCTGACCTCAGGTTATTTTGAGGACGATCGATAGACTCTCTACGTATATCCCTCTCTCAGCTCAACATCCTACTCTCCCTCCAGCGTGTCGCAATATGACTCTGGCTTGTCAACGTATCACTAGTGGCGGAAAAGCTGGTGAAGATTTTGAAATCCAAATCTGGTCTGAAGATATATGGCTGAATACCCGAGGGCCATCACTGTCTCTCACTTTCCTCGTTATTTGATTGAGTCCACTTAGCTGACTTTGAGCCGAGTGTGGCAAGCTTAAAGAGATCACCATCGGCTGAATCCAGAGCATCTCAGATATGCCAGATACGGACATCGATTGAAGCTATTCAGAGATATCGCACAACAGTCATGGCAGTATAACATAAGCGAATCCGAACCTGTAATTGTTCAAAGTCGAAGAGCGAATGCTCACGTGGCAGGTTCATCTATGAGCTGACCCAGTTTGACAAATTGCTTGCTTTGAACATCAGAGATGGCAAGCCTCCTCGCTCAGAAATTAGCGCAATGAGGCCGCTAGTGGTGGCAGTAAGCCACATGGCATAGGAGGCGGGGGCGGAGGAAGTGCCGTGGTACTGGTAGCAGAATGGATCGTGGTTTTTAGCAGATGTAGCTGAGGAAAAAACCGATGATTGGCTCAGGTAGATGCCACGCTTGGAGATGGCTTTCACGCTCTTCCAGTCTTGACAGGGGGAAAAGAGATAGTCTGCTGGATGAGCGCCTGGTTTCAGCTTTTCTAGGTGCGTGGGCAGGCATCAAACTGTGTATGCGGATTACGAATTGCTGATGGGCACAACATGGCATTCTTTTCCGACGAGGGGTGTCGCGTGCCGTTGTTGCCCTGGGCAATCTCTGGTGTCGGTTAGGTGTTGAAGGGAGGCAAGTTGCCATTTAGGCCAGTCCAGACTCTTTCCCATGCTTGACCGCCGCTGAAACCGAATTGATCAAAATGCGGCAATCACAGAAGACGTGAAGGACTTTGGCTGGCACTATGTACGCTAGCGAGACGCGCACAGCGGGCTGTCACCCCACCCGCCACCTGCCGTTCGGTGTAGGGCACCTACCTGAGGACACCTCATTGTAAGACAGCCCGCAAGAAGGGGAAAGGCTCGTAGGTAGTCAGGTCTACCTCGGTCCTCTGCAACCTGCCCATAATGGATCAAGTACCCGGGGTCGACGACTAGCCTGCCATGCCAGCCAAACACGAGACCTCAGAGACCGGGCAATGTGAACATCCGGTGCAAAAGTGGCATTCTATTCGCTCTTTGGCCAGAGATAGGTACCTAGGTAGGCACAAGCACTATTCATCCCGTCTGGTGTCGCACAACGCTGCAATCCAAGCCGGCAGGCTCCCAGCTCAACCAGTGACAGCAGCTCACAGCCCCTCACTTGTCCAATGTCGGACGAGCCTCCGGGCAGGTCCTGCAGCAAATAGCACTGCTATGTGCCGTGCCAGTGGTGGTGCTAAGTCCGTTGTGCTAAATGGAAGGGCAGACAGCGAGGCCCATTGCGGTCTGGGCCATCGGCCAATCCCAACTTGCAGGGTTGCCGGGCCTCCACCAAAGCACCCAAGCATTCAAGCACTTCCCATCCGCCTCGCTTCTCCTGGTGCTGGCGCCACACCACACGGCCTTGCCCTGCATCGTGGGGGAGGATCGAGATTCGGATCTCAGCTCAACATAAACCCAATTACTTATCAACCGAGCAAGGTTCCATTCTGCCAAACCGACCTTCCGCCCGGCCAGACCCCAACCCAAACCGCATGTCCTACGCCTAGACCATCACCATCGCCGAACCCGCAGGCACTGCTGCGCGCTTGCGTGGACCGCCTGGGAGCTCTCTGCTGCCGCTGCTGCCGCCCACCGCAGACATCGACCACGCTTCTCTGGGCCATTCTCACCTTTCACCTCACCCACACCTTTCATGCCGTCTCTCACACGCATCGCACCTTTGGTCTTCGTCTGCCACCTGCGCCTGGCAACGCTTTTTAGAGCGGCTGGCCCGTCAGAGTGATTCGACGACGCTGCCATCATCAGTTGCAGTCAAAAAAGCCTTCGTTTATCCGCAGCCCTTTGCTCCTGCCTACGGAGCTGTTTAGAAATCCCGACACGGCACTCCGACCCGTTCTCAGTGAATCCTCACAGATCAGATACCCACGTCCGCAATGGCATCGTCTCCCGGGGGGATCGTTCCTGCCCAGCTGGGCTTCCTCGCCGTCTTCAACCCGTCCTTGGGTAACACGGACGACACTCTTGACGACCAAATAGTATACTACGCCTCCGTGAGCACTCAGCGACAGAAACGCCGCCATCGTTCTCGTAGCAAACCTACTGAGAACATATCTCAAGAAGAACGCAATGAGCGACTTCGTCAGATTGGCCTTGCCCAGGGCATGGTAGAGTTCAGCAAAAGCTTTTCTGGCGGCCAGCCTGTCGATTCTATAGACACGGAGAAATCCCGCGTCGTCCTCCACGAGTTGGAGCCAGGTTGGTGGATTCTTGCTGTACGCCTGCCTTATCGCAGAATTGTATCTCCCTTCAAATTCTGATGTCTCGCAGTCTATCGATCTAACCCGCATCCCTCTACCACCTAAGCTGCAGCTGGGCAAGACCAACGAAACTCCAGAGGAGGTGGTCGAGTATTCGTCTAAGGAGATCAAGCCCGCTACTCTTCTGTTGCAAGATCTACTGCGTGCTCATTCCATCTTCCTGCTACACCACGGAACCTCGCTCAGCGCTCTGTTTGTGCGTTCTCGTAGACCCAGGTTTCTCAGTCTCCTCGGCCGTTACTGGGATCTTTTCCTGTCGACTTGGAATGTATTGCTGCAGGGCAACCCGGCACGTACAATCTTCGCCGGCATCAACGTTGCCGCGTCCGGCGAACTAGGCATTGGCGTTGGCGAAGAGGAGCGGGGTAGCGGAGAACGGGAGGTGCTAGAAGGCCTCGTTGGGAGAATAGATGGCCTCGTGGACCTCGTAGTCTCCAAGTTTGGGTCTGTTGAGGCCGACGGTGAAGCCAAAGATGGCAAGGATCCCAAAAGCTCGTGGTTGGGTACTGGGCAAGACCCCGGCCTCGAGGACGGCGCCATCTTCCTGGGGACGGGCGCGTTGTCTCGGAAATCCGTGCGGGATGTGGCGCATTGGATGGAGGATCTTTACACCTGGGGTGAAAATGCCTACGGTGTCATTGATAGTCCTACAGCTGTTCGTCGCTCTCGGAGGACGAAGCAACCATCGGTATCGCAAACAACAAAAGCGAAGGTCCCCCCGGCTGTAGCTGCGCCTGCGCCCCCGCCCGTGCGGCCGCCCGCCCGCCCGAATACCACCCGGACAGACTCCGGCTCCGGGTCTGGGGAAAGCTCGAGGTCTACGATGACGCTTGCAGAAAGGCGAGGGCGGGAAATAGGCACCGTGGAAGAGGCCAAGCGACCCGGGTCTAGCAAAGACGAGGCAACTGCGCAGGAGGAAGGCGACGGGCATCTGGACAAGCTGATGACAGTCATGAAGCTTGGTTACGGCACGTACTGGTCCATCGGCAAGTCTGACGCCTCCTCTTCCGCGGCGAAGGACGAACTGTCCGCCCTCGCAGCACACCAGACTGGGGAGATTTCCAAAAATCCCTTTGGTAAAGCACCAAAACCCAAGGCCATGGACGACGACGCCGGCCACTTTCTTATTGGGTTAATGGGTGACGTTGAGGACAGCGGCGACAGTGATGAAAACGAGCGGGGCACTGGGGCCGAGAACCCGGATGCCGTCGAGTCAAATTCCCGCACAATGCTTCGCACCGTCCACGTTGAGCTCGAGAAGACAGGGAAGGATCAGGCGGAGGCGGCCTTTACTAAGGACCTCAGCAGCCTTACGAACGAAATCACGCCTCTCGGTGCCAACGCTGTGACCAGCAACCCGCAGTTTGGAAACCAGGACTCCAATAAGGCGAGCAAGCTGCGTGTCATTGTTTACATCAACAAGCCCTTCATCTTCACCTTCTTGTTTGAGCTGAGGACCGACTCGTTGGCTTTGAACTCGTTCTACAGATCCCTACACCACCAGCTCCTACCCCTTCGCAAGCCTCTTCTGTCGTCGATCCAATATCGACCCGAACGGCCGAATATCGGTTCTGCGACGGGCAGTATCTACGACCTTGTGTGGGACGCGCAGGCCATGACGGTGCACTCATCGATACCCAACATCCCCGACCACACTCAGATGTCCAACCCGAACGCGCAACCGGCTTGGTCGCGCGTTGAGGCTATGAACACGCACATGCAGCTGCTGAATCTTTTCAACATCACACGGTCCGAAATCAACGAGCTCGAGCGGACTTGCAAGACGAACCGTGGGTGGTGGGTGGTTTGGTCACGCATTCTCGAACGCCTGGCGGCCGCCGAATCGACATCAGAGGTCGACGAGGGGCAGCAAGGCCAGCAAATGCTAGAGACTGACGATTCCTCGCCGACGAGCGGATCTGGCTCAGACACGCCGGTGCCCAAGAAGGCTTCGCCGGCACCTACCAAGGTCAGCAAAGAGATCTTTTTGATCCGCAGAGCCAGCGACCATGCTGGCTACCGTGGCGTGAGCTCGTCCTTCGCCGAGGGCGGAACGGGGTGGGGGGACGGCGCGGGCCGTCTTGCGTCGGGGATTGGCATCGATACCCGCAAGTACATCGAAGGCTTGTTGAACTTTAGCCGGTAGATCTTCAAATGCGGGGAAAGATAAAGCATAGGTAGGTACGAATGAGGATGGAAAAGTAGACGGCAGTACAGAGAAGAGTCACTCGGTCATTGTTATCATTGCAGACACAGTCAATATTGCGGGCGTTTTCCTTGCTAATTCATGAGCTTTTTTCACTGTTCCTCGTGATGCAAATCCGTTCGTCTCTGCGTGTAAGCTCTGAAGAGACCCAATGCCAATGAATCGTCCCTTTTTGGCCTCCTGAAAAGATCCCGTTGTTGTGACTTTGTCCTCTCCTGTGATTCCCTGATGAAAAGCCAATGCCAATGATCGATCCTCTTCTCCAAACATGTATTCCAACAGTCCGTCATATCCTCGTGTCATCATGACGCATCCAGTTTTTTCGATATGATCCATTTTCCTCCACGCAAAAGTGCCGGTCCTGATTGTAGCATCAAGCTGGTGTGGTTAGTAGTGGGTAAAAGGCCGCAACTTCAGGCTAGAGAAGCCCGGGTGGCCACTCCCGCAGTAGTGTATAGCAAAAGTCCACGACGATGACGCCGTGGCTACTTCTTTGGCGTCCCGCGTCAGTGATCCGCACGTGGCACGCCGATTAATCGTGCTTCGCCAACCTTGTTGGACGACGGCCCTAGCCAAACATGATCTTGGCCAGTAGGGCGTCGTAGTCTTCTTTAGGGAGGTACCAAGGGGCCTTCACGCCCGTCCGAAGGAGCCTCCGGCGCCGATTCTCCTCCGTGATCCTATTGTTTACTCGCTCTATCTGTCGGTTAGTTGCAGAGTTCTCAAAGATCTGGCCCTGGTACTCGAACTGGCGCCAAATATTGTGGAAGCTGACGTCGATGCCGCAGTCCATCAGGTACGCCACTGGGCGTGATGCGACCATTGGGGTCATGGGGTGTGAAAGGAATATCCGTGGACAGGGCGGCTCCAGAATGGAGCAAGTCGTGGGAATATCCAGAGTTAGTCGTCGAAGCTTGAAAAGAGTGGTGTTATAACAGTCTGCCAAAGCACTGACAACCCGCAACTCGTCATCGTAGTCAACCGCCATTCGAATCGGGGGGTTTGAATGCCATCTGCACCCGATCGTCAAGTCTTGGACGTTAGGGGGAAAGCGATTGCGAAGGTCGAGTACGTCGTTCTCATTGATAAAGTCGCAGAGTCCGAACAGACCTGTAAAGTCAACGACGAGAGTCTTCACATTGGTGAGATAAGGAAGGCAGTCAAGTCTCCGCCTCTGACCAGCAAAACGTTCTGGGTATGATGGCAAGTAGTTTCCAGGTTTAGCGGCGACAAGCTCCAGGTGACGCAAGCTACCAGAGAGACCTCGGAGGGCCTGATTCAAGTCTTTACCTTGAGGAAGACGTCGGAACTGGTGAGGGTTGGTGTTCCTCGAGAAGTATGCGGTGAGCACCTGCAGGTTAGCACACGCCAGCAGAATACCGACGAGCTCTGGCTCTTGGATGCAAGAAAGGTGCAGAACAAGCTTCTTCATCCGAGGCATGTCGTTGTAATCCGGCAGACTCACGTCATCCCTGTGCTTGTCGATAGGCCTCCAGCACCAAGGCGCGTCGGAGAGAAGTTCGAAGATCTCGAGGTTGGGAAGCTGAGAAAGGTAAGTAGGGATATTGCAGGAAAAATGATGGCGATGAGTCTCAGGCAGCGAGTCTCCGGCGATGTCAGAATCAGTGTCAGTGAAGTCGTGACGGAGTCGAAGGGTGCGCACGCAGCTAAACGGCGGGTCGAAGGAAAGGGGGTGGAGCGTTAGGGGTGTCTTTCCCTCACATGCGATGTTGTGCAGCTTCAGTCCGTAAGATTCTGGTTGCGTGAGTGTCTCAGTGGATGGAATCATCATATGAGTGTACTCCATTTGATGTCGCATCGTCCGTATCAGCAGCTCGAAGTACTTCTCGTTAGGAGAGGTGATCAAGAACTCAGCCACATTGGGTATAAGTGTGAGAACGATGGCCAGGTCTGTGAGGGTCCTGGTGTTGTACAGCTGACGCCAGAGGCGGAAGTAGGGAACTCGTGGTCCTAGCTGGAACTCGCCGAGGAGGTAGAGGGCTCGGACGTGATTTCCAAGACCATGCTTGGCTGGGCAGGTCAGAAGGCGAAGGAAGCGCCGAAGGTGATAGGGCTTCGCAAGAGCAACATTCTTGAAGAGAGCTGGCTCGGATGCTCGAGATATGCCTTTGGATGTTCGGTAAAGAGAAACGAGGTCGGCTCGGGTCAACTGCCACTCTTCATACTGCGCTGCGCTGGTATGAATATCATACGAGGTTTCGAAGGGCCTCATGACAACAGTGGGGGGAACACTGGGCAGGAGATAGGACATGATATGGTCGAACAGCTCGGGCGGAATGCCACCAAGGCTTGCTCTGGGGTACTGGGCGGTGTCGTCTGCCATTGTGTTCACCAGGGTCTTGCTGCCCGCGGCCTGCATCCGTGTTCAATAATCCGGGCGCAAATAACAGGTGCAGGAGTCCTGCAGTGTACTTACACTGTTTTCACCTGCAGCCACTTTGAGATATTTGCAGGGTTTCATCTCGTTGAGGAAGCGATGGGATTGGTGTGTTGCTGCCTCTTTGTAGCTTTCTTTGAGGGCGAAGCAAAAATCTACCCGCCTGCCTCAGTAAATCGCAACCGTGAAGTCTGTTTTTGCACGCGACAGTTTGATGTCGACAAATTCGCAGGCGCGGGTATGCTGGCTCACGTTGTTTCACGATAACCTCCGCGCTCAAGGTTTGATAGGGTGAGGGCGATCGTGACTGGGGTGCAGGTGTGTGGCAGTGGATGTTTCCTCCAGGGTTGCTGGGCCAGATTGTGTTTGTGGCAGCGAATCGCCGTGAGCCTTGGGATTTGCTGCAGGGGAAGGAGGGGCGATTCGAGCTGATCAACCCAGCAGGAAGGGCCAAGGTGGGGCAGAGAGGGCAAGAAGAGGGCCACACAGGGCCAACACTTGAAGAAGATGGAGGGGGATTGGGAGGCTCTTCACCTGCCAACCAGCATCACCCCACCACGCAGGGAAGTTGGACAGGGCCTAAAAGCCGCAGCAGGGTCATAAAAAACGATTGAAAAAATAAAGATAAAAAAAAAAAAACCTTTGGATGAGGTCCCCGCGGAGAGAAGAACCCTGCAGCTGCAAACAGTGCCACAACTGGACTGGATCTTTCGGCCACGTCGGGAGAGGCGCCAGCAGACACGCGCCACTGGTCTTTGGACTTTATTTTTCTCGGATCTCAAAGTGTCGCGGAGGGTTGCGTTTCAGAGCGACATCTGGCAGTCAGATGAGAGTCAATGAGGAGGTGAATGACGGACGCGGACAGGCGAGTCATCTATTGGGCTGAACGCGGTCTTGTCCAAGCTCCTTAGTGGCAGCTTTGGCGGCTTCTGGGACCCTTGGATGATGCCATTGGACGTCTTGGGGCGTCTCTTAGGGCCTGCGGGAGCGCTCGGCCAGACGTGGACACGGTACGTACCCAAGATGGGCTCAGAGAATGCCGCCTGCGAGCTTGCGAGGCAAATAAGAAATAGAGAAGCGCGCTCTGAGCAGAGGTATTGGCTGGTGAGGTCATAGTTCCCGCAACTGCCGATCGCCATGGAAATCATCGAATTCTCACCCGTCACGCCTGCGCCTGTGCAGCTCCCGCGCGTCCACCGTCCATGTCAGGTCCCGGCCCTCCGTGCCCTCCCTAAGGTTCTCTTCCCATGTCGGGCGACTCTGCACCTCTGTCAGTCAGTGAAGTGCATCCATGAGTGCTAGATCTGACTGGGAATTGGTGGTGTCCGGCTCTGGGAGGTAGCCCCCTCCTCGGCCGACTCCTCGAGTCCTTTCCATCCCGCCCTTGCCTTCCCTTCCCGTCCCTTCCCAGTTATTAAAGATACCCTTGCCTCCTGCCGCTTCCTTCCACCGCGACCCTACTCACCCGACAACCAGCCTGAACAACCCAGACAAGTCTTATTTGTTCCACGCCCACCCTGCCAGATCTTGCTCCACGTCTACTGACTTCTTGTCTTCCTCCACATCACACACAGACATAGTCAATGATCAATTGCTTGTTTTTGCAAATCATCCCGTGAGCACTCATCGTCAGACGCCAGTCACGCCACTACTCCCAGCTTCAAATTACACACACATACAGCTCTCGACGACAACGTCATTCTACATAACTCTAGTAGCTCTTGCTCCTAGCACCCAACTCACCAGTAACCCATCGACCCCGGTCATCCAAGTTACCGGACGCGGTCCAACACTTATCCAACATGATGGAATCAATCTTCAAGGTCGCCATTCGAGGCGTTCAGGTACTCTGGGTCCTGCTCGTTACAGCATTGATCGGCAATGTCATCGCCCTGAACATTAACGGTGCCGGGTCTGCCATGGCTGCGATCAACTTCACAATGTTCGTTGCTGTCATCTGTTGGTTGGCTGCTCTTTACGGCCTGGCCACATCGTTCATCGCCGGCATCGCCATTCCCCTGGTCATGCTGGCTCTCGACGGTGCGGCCTTGCTCTTCACCTTCATTGACAGCATTGTTTTATCCGCCAAACTGCGGGTCGTCAACTGCGGCACGCTCGACGGTCGCGACCACCCAAGCGACTATATCGTTTGGGGCTCCGCTGACGACGAGAAGCGCTGCCGCGAGATCCAAGCGAGCACTGTCTTCATGTGGTTTTTGTTCGCCAGCTTTTGTGCCGGAGCGTTCTTTACCTTCATGGACTTCCGTCGTGGCGGTGGTGGCTCTATTCGCAGCTCTCGGCCCTCTATGGCCCAGGTTGGAGCCTAAAGCTTCGCCGACAACATACACCATACAAGATACACGCTTTTGAAAAACAACCACCCGACTTTTTGTTCTTTGGGTGCGGCCACTGGGTCAGACATGCGGCATTCACGACTGGTCCTTGAATAGCTGTTGGGTTCTGACGGCGTTGGCGGCATGCTGTTGTTTTTATGTTACCTTCACGATGGCATATAGTAGTAATGAATGACCGGATATGGGTTATGGGATGACATGGATATATGGTTATGGATACGGCGGGGCCAAGTGCCACGGTGCTCTGGGAACAGCCGCAAGGCTGCTTAGCACCCTCTTGTGTAGCAGAATCACAATGATTGATACCAATGAATGCGAGTTTTCTTTCATCAGTTCCATGTGTAACGCCGTGCATGAGCGATGTTGTCGCGTAGACCCTCGTGGCAGGATGTGGCCCGCGGGGGTGTAACTCTCGAGGGACTCCGCCCCTACGAGCAATTCATTATTGAACTTGGAAATCATTGAATTGCAAATCTTCATAGCGAGGTCTTGTGCCTTGCCTCTGTATGTGCCGCCTTGATCTATCACGGCGGGCCTCAACGCCATCCATATGTATACAACCGCCGCCTTGGGCCGCAACACCAACTTCTGGACTCCGTAGCGTCTCTTGCGAAGTTACTTATCAAAACCACTATCATGCTCCTTATAAAGTAGCCGCAGCCTCAGCGACACCAGCAGCTTTGAAGGCGCCCTTGTTTGTCCACCGCACCTCGACGTTGTGCATCCATTCCATATATCTTGACCAACCTGTGCCAGCACGGTTAGCATCTGCGGGACCAGCGTCACGTTCTAGGGAAGCTCACTCCAGTACGCAAATTTGCGACCCAGGTACTTTCCGGCGAACGGCACGATGACCATGGTCAGCAGGAGCTGGATCTGCTCCAAGCTGCGCTCCCATTCCTCCTGCGCATCCGAGTCGTCTTCGGAGTCGAGCACACTACTAGATATTGACGGCAGCGAATCGATCTCGTCGAGGTCAGAGGAGGGCGAGATGTCGTCGTGGATGACGAAGGAATCGGTGGACTGCATCATGCCGGAGAGAGAGAGGTATGGCGGGCAGATAGGACGTCGGACGTTTGTTCGGCGCTCGGCTGTTGGAGCTTCGAGGCGGCAAGACGCGGTGGTGGCAAGTAGGCCTATCGATGATTCGGGTTCAACGCCGATTGAGTCGCAGGGCAGGCTGAATCCTGCATGCGTGTCAAGGAGATCGAACACGAGACGATCTACCAGGTGGGCGCTTCGCGGGAGGTTGAATCAAGGGACCGCGATGCCTCCGATGATGCCAGTGCAGCTGTGGAGGTGCGGACGCCTGGAGCTCTCTGATCCCCCGTTCCCCAACCAGAAACGGCAACGGGACGGCCAGCAGCAGGTGTTGACGATTCTGTTTTTTATTGGCTGGGGATGCTGTGAAGCGGGGCCGGCTGCGATTCCACGAGGTGCTGACGGAATAGCCTCAGGACTGAGAGGTACCGAATCATCAGTCACTGCTTCGGTTACGGTTGAGTCTTTCTACTTCGCTTCTTTTTATTGATTCGAATTTTCGCATTCGACTCATGGAGACGTCGATATTAATCTGCGTCAGAAGATAAGCATGCCGAGTCAATCTGTGCCAGATATGACTGAACATACGCTTGAGACCAGTGCCATTACCGTACAAATTTCGCCATCGAAACGGTCGGACACCATACGTCAAGATCACATGACCGTGTGTACCCGCTGAGTCACAGGCTGCAAAGGGTGACTACGGACGGGCGCTGGGCACCGCAACAGCTGGCGGACACTGTGACTGGAGGGGGGAGGAGGGGGGTTTTGTCTCCCACTTTGGACCAGTGACCAGCACCCTCACGTCACCTTGAAATCCCGTCCACCTGCAGTCGAGGCAATTCTACTTTCCCTCTCACAAATTTCCATTACCGAACCATTTTCGAACGGCACAAACCGACTCGACGCCATATCCCAGGTCACCAGGTTCTTGTTTTGTCGACCCTTCCGACCATCAGCGCTTGTTCAACCACACCCCCCGGACCACTGTGCTAGAAGCATTTACCAAGGATACCTAACCGAGAACCCCATTCAGTGAGACACAGGCCGCAATCATGGCGGACGTCGAAGTAAGTTTCCTCCGTTGCTTACCGTAACGCACCGCACCTCTCGTTAGCCCTCCCCTCTTACACCCTGCGCACGGCGCACGGCGCACTTCTGCCACTGCCCACCACCACCATTGGCCCCTCCACCAGAACTTATTCGTCTTTTACCCCACTGCCCAACCAGAATCAGAGACGGTCTGGACAGACAGGACATTTTTCGTGACTCAAATTCGACGCCATAAAACCGATCATATCATCACCACCCAAGACGTTGTTCCTCCCCGATTAATTCTCTGCTCATCTCCGAAATTTCCGCTCGTCCTCTTTGAAATCTAACATTCAATTTTCGCAGGCATCTCCTCTCCCCGAGCGCAAACAGCGTAAATCCGTCGCTTTCGATACCGAACAAATAGTAGTCGACGCCGACGGCTCAGTCACAATGGTCAACGCTACCGACGAACCCAAGGAGACAGCCCAGTCGCACACGCCTCGTACGCCGCCGCTTTCTGCAGCACTTGAATCTTTCAATACTGATGCCCCTTCTCAAGCCGGAGCCGAGGATGCGACCACCCCCGTCCCCGATGCCACCGAAGATGGTGGCCTCGACCTTACCATGAAGAAGAAGAAGAAGAAGAAGGTCGCCAAGGAGGGCGATGATGCCGAGGAGGCCCCCGCCGGCGAGGACGGTGGCCTCGACCTGACCCTGAAGAAGAAGAAGAAGAAGAAGGTTCCCAAGGAGGGCGAGGAGGACGACTTCGCCGCCAAGCTCAAGGCCTTGGACCTCGAGGGCAAGGAGGGCGAAGCTGGTGAGGCTCCCGCCGCTGGCGAGGCTGACGAGGGTGACATGGACGCCGGCACCGGCATCTGGCAGCACGACGAGACCAAGGCCCTCAGCTACAGCCTGCTGCTCAACCGCTTCTTCCACCAGCTGTCCCAGAAGAACCCCGACCACGCTTTGAGCGGCTCCAAGAGCTACAAGATCCCTCCCCCGCAGTGCATGCGTGAAGGCAACAAGAAGACCATCTTCGCCAACATTGCCGAGATCTGCAAGCGCATGAAGAGAACGGAGGAGCACGTGACCGCCTACCTGTTTGCTGAGTTGGGTACCAGTGGTTCCGTTGACGGAAGCAGACGTCTTGTTATCAAGGGTCGTTTCCAGCAGAAGCAGCTCGAGAACGTGTTGCGCAAGTACATCAGTGAGTTTGCCTCTTTTGTGCGTCTTACGCGGAAGCTGACCAACTTCCTCCACAGTCGAGTACGTCACCTGCAAGACCTGCAAATCTGCCGACACCGAGCTGTCCAAGGGAGAGAACCGTCTGTACTTCATTACCTGCAACTCTTGCGGTTCGAGACGTTCCGTTACTGCCATCAAGACCGGTTTCTCCGCCCAGGTCGGAAAGAGAAGAAAGATGCAGGGTTAAGCGAGTTCAGTCGTGGACAGCAAGAGTTGGAGAAATATTCTTCTACGCTATTTACGTCCTTTAGCGTACTCTTGGCTTTTAGATGTGATCATGCCAGCAGTGTGCGGTGCAGCCTAGAGGCTGCGACGCTCCGGGTAATCAATGAATGGATGGATGGCACCCATAGACAGTGGCGTTTTCTTTCCAAAAATTGGTACAAAAGTTGGGCATAATGTCAATCAGAATCGTTCTCAAAAGTCTTGTTGATGTGTGACACCCGTTTCTTGTGGGTCTGCCAAAAGTGACGCGTTCTGCAACGTGGATTGGTGATGTCTCTGTTGGACTTGCTCCATCGGTGCATGTGGTGGTAGTTGACTTAACCTCACATGTCCACTGGCGCGCCAGCCATCAACCAAACGTCAATCCTTCAACACATGACTCAACCGTCCACGCGGCCAACATCACAAAAGTCCCAATTACAGCATATTTAAACAGCAGAACTCGAGTCACTTTATCTAAACTCTATACCCTGAATCATCAAGCCTTATCATCACCTTCAGACAGCAACTCCTCATCCGACACCATGACGGGCGCAACGCTGCGGGAGGGCCAGGCCGATCTCCCCTCGACTAAGAGCACCCGCTCATACTGGCACCGCGAGCCTTCCGAAGCGCTCCTGGGCCATCGCACGACTAAGAGCTTACCTCCGACCGCGGATGTGGTCGTCGTCGGCAGCGGTATCACAGGCGCTTTCGCCGCCAAAGAGCTGAAGGAGGGGAGTGACGGGGCGAGCAGGAACGTGTTGTTGCTTGAGGCCAGGGAGGTCTGCTGGGGAGCTACTGGACGGGTGAGTCTTTTAATACTTTCTGTCTCGTATCACGAAGTGAAATGAGGGAAGTCGAAGTCTGGCAAGTGCTCAGCCAAGATTGATGGTGATGGGCTCCGATAGCTTATCTCGACCCCTCATCGTGTCATCTCACAACCACCTTCACGATAACGCTGCCACTGACACCCCTACCAGAACGGTGGCCACTGCCAGCCGGTAGTATATGGTCCCTCCACCGCCATAGCAGACTTTGAGCTGCAGACGTACAACTACCTCCGCGATCTCGTCACCGCCAACGCCATCCCCTGCGACTGGGTCTCCCTCCGCGGCGTCCATGCCCTTCTCACCGCGGACCTCGTCGCCAAGGCCGCCGACGCCATCGCTGTCCTCCCACCTCACCTCAAGAGCGCCGTACGCCTCGTCACTGATGCGGAAGAGCTGAAGACGCTACGGGTGCCAGGAGCCGCGGGCGCCGCCGTGCAGGAGAATGCGGCGAGTTGCTGGCCGTACAAACTTGTCGCATGGGTGTTTGAGGACCTCATCTCAAAGTTTGGAGGAGGGCAGCAGCAGTCTGCAGGCGAAGGCGGATGGTTCAACCTGCAGACCAACACGCCCGTCACGCGTCTCCAACGCCTGGATGGCGCCGGTGACGACGGAGCGTCGTGGATTGTACACACAGAGCGCGGGCAGGTGGCCGCGAAGCAGGTCCTGCTGTGCTCCAACGCCTACACGAGCCGTCTGCTCCCCGCCTTTTCGAACCTCATCGTGCCGGTGCGTGGCCAGGTCGCCGCGCTGCTGCCGGAACCGCGCGCCGAGATAGAGCGGAGCTACGTCTTCATGGCCAGCTCCTCGGGGTCGTCGCCAAACCAGGACGACTACCTCATCCAAAGGCCTTCCCCTGGTCTGGAGATGATCCTAGGGGGAGGAAGGGCGAACGGCACAGCCAGAGGAGTGGGTATCTCGGATGACGACGAGGTCGACCCGGTCGTTGCCTCGTACCTGCGGCGAGCGGGGGCCAAGAACATTGACCTCCAGGGCGATGGTGAGCAGCCGACGGACCCGGAAGAGCTCAAGGCGAGTTACGAGTGGACGGGCATCATGGCCTTCTCGCGTGACGGGCGGCCGTGGGTCGGCGAGGTCCCGGCGGGCGATGTGCTCGGCGGCGGGGCCGGGCTGTGGGTTTGTGCTGGGTACACCGGACACGGGATGCCCCAAGCCGCGCTCTGCGGGCGAGCCGTGGCCGGCATGATGGCCGGAACGGAGAACGGGATCCAAGTACCTGGAGATTTCGTGGTTGGGGAGGAGAGGGCGCGACGGGCCCAGGCTATGCCTAGCATCAAGGAGATGGACGACCTGGACATGTTCTTGCTGTAGGAGGCCCTGGTCGCGTCATTCTGGAGTACTCGGTTGTCTTGACGATGGGTGGTATCTCGTGTTGTTGATACGAGGGGTTGAGTTCAACTGGTGGCGAGAAAGAAATCAAACGACCCTGACCGAATCATATCCTTAGAGTCACGAAAGTTTAATAGAAGCATCGGAATGATATTGAGCACGAAGGCAGCTAGGGTGATGTAACTACAGACCACCAAGGCCTCGGTCATGTCTTGGAATTATAGATTGGGCCGAGACTCCTCCCTCCGAGGCCTCCTCCTCCACGCCTCCTCGACCCGGAGAGAGTGGAATGTTCCGCCCTCTCCTCAGCTGACACGATCGGATCGTTGCGGTGTGAGACATACAACATATGGATATGGGCAAGGCAGTCTTTCGCTTTGCCCCTCCCCCAGAATGCCAGGCGCTGCGGCCGCCACGGTAACAGGTGGTGGTTCAGAATGTCTCTCGGGCCAGGCCAGCAGCTTATTACATTACCCTCTTTCTGAACGGTAACCCCCATCGCTGATTGGAATGTCGCGCTCGAGCCCGTGGGGGGAGGGGATTTCATAACCCCTCCATCGTCATTCTCATTATCGTTCCGCGTGCCGACGGCTCATTGCATGGGCTGACCGCATGCTACCGGCAAGTCTAGCGTTGATCACATTTTTCCAGAGACTCGGCCGACTGGGACTGTGGCACGGAGAAAGGATATTTTGAAGTCTCAACTTTTTGGTTTTTGATATTTTTCTTCCTTCTTGGCAGTGGTTTGCCAATAACCCACGTCCGGGGAAGGATGGGAGGCGCGAAAGCACACGCCCCTATCCATACCCCTAATAGATATATATATTTGAATTGTAAGTTCTATGAGCCGACCCGATGGTAAGAATGTCCACATAAACAGAAACACCAGATGTCCGCCCCCAGATTGCCCAACACCTCCCACAAGCATGGGAGGAATTTCGCATCCGCAGGTATAGAGATATCGTCATCACGTCATTCAAGACCGGCGTGCCAGGTCTTGTTGTTTGCCCTTTTGTTGATCCAATCCAGTTCCCGTGCTGTTGAACCAGGCGCCGTCCCTTTTGACTGACCAGGAAAAGGAGGGGTATATGTAACCAAATATTTGTTATTTGAGATTTGAATCAGAGAAAGAAAAAAGACGACTGGCCCAAGGAAGCTTGAAGCCAATCATTTCTTGTGAATGAGGTGAACCTGATGAGTGCGAAGCCCTCGCTAGGAAAGCGCACCCAAAAGAAGAGAAAGAACCCCTGACGGCCGTGCTGAGACTGGAATGGAATAGAGGAATAAGCAAGCGTTTTGAACGTCAAGCTTAGTTGATGAACTTCCAGTCGACGGTACCGGCACCGACATCGAGGCTGTCGAAGATCTCGAGGAAGGCCTTCTCGCTGACATCGATGGCATCGTGAGAGCAGCCCATGCACTTGTCGCGAACGGTGGCGGTGGTGGTCTTGCCGTTGGCGGAGATCTGGATCTTCTTACCGCAGTAGGAGTTGCCGTTGGAAACCGAGCCCATCATGAGAACGGAGAGAGCAACAATGTTCTCAGTCTTGTCCTTGCCGCTGTCGTCCTCGCCGCAAGCACCCAGGCCGATGGCGTAGTAGGTCAGCTTACCGCTGTAAGAAGAGCCACCACTGCTGCTGCTGCTGCCGGTGGTGGCTTGGGCCTGGACCTGAGGAGTGCTGGTGGTGGCGACAACAGGAGCAACGTAGGCAGGGGTGGTAGGAACGATGACGGGAGCGATGTAGACAGAAGTGGTGGTCGGCTGAGGAGCGGGTTGAGGAGTCGGGGTCTGGGGAGCGGGAGCAGGGGTGGAGCTGCTGGACGAGACAACGGGAGCCTGCTGGATGGATTCCTGAACAACGGGTGCAGCGGCCTTGGTCGAGGTGGACAGCGTGGTGTAAGAGGGCGAGTTGCCGGGCTCGAAGAACTGGCCGGGCACGGAGGTGGTGGGAACGGCGGAGGGAGTGGCAGATGCCTCGGAGGAGGGGACCCAGGCGGTCTCGGTGGCATCAACCCACTCGGTCACGTAGGCGGTCTCGGTAACCCACTCAGTGACGAGAGCGCGCTTCTGGTGCTTGCCGTGGACATGGCGCTTCTTGTTTCCGTGCTGGTGGGGCTGGGCAACGGCGGCGGCAGCCAGGGCGGCGCAGAAGATGGCAGAGGTCTTCATGGTGAACTTGGTGTTTGGTGAGTTGTGATGTTGGTGTTTGGTGTTGTTGGTCAGGAGACTTATACGGTCTCTTGAGTGATGATCTTCCGTGAAGGATGAGCTGGAAGCGAAATGAATGCAATGGGCTGAGCCTCTCAATCAAGGAATGGCTTGCGGGAGCGTGTGAAGCTTGGCAGGTTCAAGGTTGACGGCAGGAAGCTCGGGGCACGCTTTGGTATGTACTGAGGTTCCTGGTAGGCTGGAAAGATGGGATGAAAGGAGTAGTTCACTGAACACTCTTTTGCTGATAGCTGGAGACCGGATGATAATGTTTGGACGAGTCCTCGAAACAGTCTGTGAAGGAATGAATTGGTTGGATAGTCTGTTGGACTGAAGTCGGTCGAGCACTGCTCAAGGGGGTCCAAGGAAAGGAATGAATTGGTTTTGGTCGAACAAGAGGGAGCGTTGTTGGATGGAGAGGAAAGAGGAAAAAAAAAAGAGAGATCCAGATGGGCGATCTGGGAAGCGGAGGCCGGCTGGGATTTGTATCCCAGAACACTTTCGTGGACCAAGCGAGGTACCAAACGATGGGAACACAACACGAAAGTGAGCCTGTTCGGGACTGGCGAGACTGGGTTAGGGGGCCAGGGGCGGAACGGGGGCCCGGGGGTGTGAGCCTGTGAGGTCGAGTGGATGTGGTGTGTGGAGTGGAGGCCTGCAGGTGCTGAGCGTGCTGAGAATGCTGACGGAGGGTGGAGGACAGACTCCATTGGCAGGTACCTCAGCTAGCACGGCAGTATGCGGGAGTACCTGATGATCCTTCGAGGCCTGTCTGGTCGTGTTGTGTTGTTTGGCTGGGCTGCAGGTTCCGGGGCGGTTGACTGCGCACTCTCTCTCGCTCGCTCACTGCCACCGCCGCCTTAGCGGTAGTGACAACAGAATTCGCAAAAGCCCCGAGAGGGAATAAAAAGCAAAAGCGGGGCCTTGTCATGGCGTGGAAACCAGGATTCTTGAGTGGTAACCGTCCCTGCAACCCCCCTGGACCAACTTGGAGAGGCAGACAAACTGCTTCGACGACCTCACTCGTCACTGGACCGTTGGATGCTGGAGGTCCGAAAAAAGAACGTACCAACACGAAAGAAGCAAGTCCAGGGGGCGTGAACAACCCGTTGGATGGCACTAGCACGAGCCCGTTCGCTCCAGACTGGCATCGCTGGCACCAAGCACGCCACGAGATCAGGCAAGCAGACGAGGAGAGGATGCCTCTTGGGGTTCGCAGTTCTGGCATGGCCCATCTTGGCTCTCCAGGGCTTGAACGCCTCCGCTTATTAGGATGTTGGAGATGGGATGTTTGCCAGCCAGACCAACCCGAAACCGACTTGGGCTGAGGCAACCAGGGACGACAACCGCAACCCGAGAAAACATTAGGCAAATGGATGCCGAGGAAACGCAACTTGACAGCCGTTTCGCTCAAACCATTGAACCAGCAACGCGTACAGGGAGTCAGAGACAGTACTGGTTGTTTGAACTCTAGCCGCACATCCGTCGAGAATACAGAGTATTGGATATCGGGAAGTGGTGGATGGATCGGACTGGGGCAGCGTAACGTATCCTGCCAACGTAAGAACGGCAATAAGAAGCCGGGGTCTGGAGAGCTTCCATCTCGCAATTGACTCGTTATGCTGGCCCATCACATGCGTAACCGCAAGGTCTGCGCGTGCTTCGTAGTTGCCAATTGCTCTTGGATTTGCCGCTGCAGCGCGGTTGACGGCACGGCTTCAGGGCTGGAACTGGGCCGGGCTGCGCGTCTCTTGCCTCGTTCCCTCGTCCCATGTCCATGCCTTCTTGCCTTCGTCTCCCGGGCTCCCGTCTCATTCCAAGCTTGACGTTGCCTGTCATAATGTCATCTTGTTTCTTCCCACCCATACTTGATGATTGGATGAACCGCCGGAGAGATGCTGGTGCTTGAAACACGCGGAAACTGGGAAGTGCGCTCCAGCTTTTTTTTCCCTCCTCCTCACCCAAGGCCCTGGCGGCCAGCCCAGCCCCGAGAGACCCAGCCCAGGGGGTAGGTAGCACGTAGGTGGTCCAGGGTCCGAACACCGTTTCTCCCCTCCCCTCGCATCGTCTAGGAATCCTGGAAACAAAAGAATGACGATCATCCGGTGGCACCGGGGTGCCCAGGACGGGTACCTGCCTGCCAACCGCCATGCTCTGCGCACACACAGTACCTTCCCTTATTGTGAGGTGCCGTGCCGCGGGAGGCCTGCGCCTGCTGCGCCAGCATTCTGGCTCGGTGTTAGTTAATTGTCTCTCATGGAAGAAGGCGCAACCGTTGCCGCGCTGCGAGAAGGATCCCAGCAGACCGTGGTTGAGCATGCCGGCGCCATGGCGGCTGCAATGTGCGATGCAACATTGGACAGATGACGCACCAGGAGAAACGTGAAAAAAGAAACACTGGTCGACAACTTGGGATGTTACCTTACCGTGCCGCGCAGGAGAAGTCAGTGTCATTCAGAACTCAATGGTCAGCGTCGAGGGCGACCTTTCAAGGGTGTTGGCACCAGGTCAGGTCCCCCGCTCACCTGTGCCTGACGCTAAGTAACGATTGCTCAACCCTGACCAAGGCACGGAAGGGGGGAAAACGAAAGCCAAAAACAAAATGAACCGGCGATGCGACGAAGGAAGCAGACTGGCAGCCCTCAAGCGACCAAGGCGAACGCCCGAGCTGGTCCAGACAACGGGCTTGGGCGACGGGTTCCTTGCAGATGTAAGGTACGCGCCAATCACAGCGACGCCTCGGTGGAAAGCCCCCGCCCGGCGCAACCCTCACAGCCCATTCTCCCCCTGTCCGGCTCTGGTCCCGGATGATCAGGCAATTCAGGCAATGCCACATCACTTTCTCCCTTCTAAAAATTCGAATGGCTAGCCTCTGCGCTGCAGTTAATAGCTCCATGTTCGTGCCTGCAAACCTACAGTGGTTTGGTGGACACCGCTGACACGCTGACACGTTGGGTGGGCGTCGTACCGCGGCGCCAACCACGCAGAGATTTTCCCGCATTGCATCTTCATTCGGCCACCCGCGGCTTGATGCTTGATTCGTTAATGGCTTGCAGCAGCCTGCAGTTGTGTGAAGGGGAAGACACAGAAAACCCCTCACCTGTTCGGTGACCGTTCTTACTTCTCACTCCTGAGACCTATTCTCGGGCTAGTCTTGATTTCGCTTTCCTTCGAGCCGTCGTCCGGCCTTTTACTCACAGCTTTCTCGTCCACATCTCTTGCTCGTAGTTGCGCTATGGTAAAGCCAACCATCCCATCAAATGATCGTCCGGAGTCTGAAATCTGAACTCTGAACTCTGGGGACCAGATCTTGTATGCCCACCCGCACAGTTCTCCACTACTCTTGGAGATCACATGCGTGTTGGATCCAACGATATGTGGTGCTCTAAAAAGCTTCTTTTGATTGACATGAGCCTCTATTTCTCTACTCTCTATTCGTCTATTATTGCGTCTCTTCCACGCTGTTGATGACAGGCGCTTTCTGCATCGACTGTCAGCTGACGCGGTGCAGCGACCTCTCAGAGATGTCCACGACACCGAGCAGTACACGACATCGCCCCGCCTTGGGCTGTGGGTTGGAATCCTCGAACGAGGCAAGCAAGGAGACAACAATCGTTTTTCATCTCGTCCTTTTCCCTGAGCCAACGGACAAACTCATGGATCTCCGCACACCTACTCTGGCGCGCAAGTGACACCAAAAGTTGTCAAGGTCAAGTAGCCTTTCGACTTCGAGTCATTGTTTGACATGGCGCACTGCGCAAATCCCTGGGCCCGAGTCGAGGCTTTCAGATCCCGACTCCCGAGAGCTTTGCGAAACAGGCGCTTGATGCTGTCTTTCCCAAAAAGAGAACGGTTTGCCAATGACAGGATGCCAGTCAATGCTCACTACTGTCGAGCACCGTTGGCGGTCGGCTTCTTGCTGGCGAAGGTGTACAGAAACAGCCCTTCTCTGCTGAATATGGCGCGATCATCATCCACGATTTCTGTCACTTGGAACGCCTTCTGTGCCTTCTTGAGAAACTGCATGTCGGCGCGTCTCCTCTTCTTGAAACAGAAGTAGATGGTCGCGTCGGGCTCCAGCGTCAGCAAATTTGTCAATGTCTCCAATAGAAGCGGGAAGGCGGGCTCAAAGTACACGCAGTCGGCTGCGAGTATGACATTCGGCTTGAAGTCGACGACTTCTTGTGATAACGGCTCGCCCCTGTGTCGTTCATCAGTCATCCGTTCATCAGTCATCCGTTCATCAGCCGAGTGCATGCGCAGCCTGCTTGTGCTTGGACTTGTGCATTGCAGCGCAGCGCAGCGCAGTAGCAGAGTGAGCCAGGACAAGTTGTAAGTCTTTGGCTTCATAACTCTTTGGTGCACTGCTGGTTCCCGCGCACGCGCAACTCCTCAGCGCTGGCAGACACCTCTCACTTGTCCCAAGTCTGGGGCTGATGGTCTGGGGGAAGGATGCGCACGGCTGGAATCGGAGGTAAATGGAAATTACTTACCAATTCAGGATCATGGGCTTAACCTTGCCATCAAGACCATTCAGCTTGGTGTTCCTGCCCATGAGCTCGAACATCTCGTCCTGGTCTGTGAGGTACAGCGGCGTTTGCTGCAGGTCACAACCTAGAGCAACAGCCAAACCGACGAGTCCGCCGCCGGCACCTAGCTCTAGTCTATTTGCTCCGAAAAGCCACGAGTCAGCTCAACTTCTTTCCACGACATGTTCTCTCGCATTAGCATGCGGTTAAGTTCCGGCAAGTCAAGTGCAGCAGGATTTGCAGCAAAGTGTAGGCGAGCGTGAGCTCGGGGATAACCAGCTCAGGAAACGTGGCGAGCGCAATGGGGCCGAGTCACCAACATTCTGGCTCCGGTCAGAGCTTCCCGGTGGTAACGCAGCATGTGCTTTGCCAACACCATGCCCGCGGGCCAGGTTTGACCTCCGCATCCCGAAGCGAGGTCCTCGTGGAGCTTGAGGGGAGTGGACAGTAGGCCGGCGATGTCGAAGGAGTTGGTTTGTGCGGCCTTGTAGGCGGGTAGCGGGGTGAGATCTTCGCCGATCGCCAAGGGCGAGAACTCGGGCGAGGGAGACCTCTCGGCGGAGTCCATCTGTTCTGGAATGAGAGGGTTGTTGAGAATTCTCATAATGCTATTGTTTGTTTCTGGGTGAGTACGGATGATGCAACGGTAAGTCGAGTGCGTCTGGAGGCAAGGTTGTAGGTAGAGCAGGCTGAGAGCGCGTTTGATTCTCTCAAGGCAGGTGGTGCTTTTGGGCGTTTGCAGATCTGAGGCAGAAAAGAGCGGTATCGCTGGTCTTTGTTGGGACTTTTTTTTTTTTTTTTTCTGAGGTCGACGACAATCTAGACTTTCCGATAAGGGGAAGTGCGTTTGCCTCAAGCGGGGTTGCCCCGACTTTCACATTGGTCCCTTAGTGTAGTGTCCCGTCCTCAGCGGCGGGTTCTGCTTGCAAGTTCCACACTTCCCATCGAGTCATCACCTTCTCTGGTCGTCCGAGAAAGACGTGGAAGGAGCTTGCTTGCCTTACCTCAGGTCCAGTGCCTACCTCAGTAAGGTAGTCACACTCGGCCGCCAAGTTTGTTTCTAGCGTCGAACCTGAGCTGTCGCTGCTTTACTTCGAGTTTGAGGGCGGTCTGGCGTGATTTCAACCCTTTGAAACATCGCACAGTTACTTAAACGGGGTACACACTGTAGGCCAGAACTTGACAAGCTGATCTAAGTAGGCATCGGTACCTAGAGGATGTGATCCAGCTGGTGCTCATCCAGGAAACAGGTGCACGACTATGAAATCCTTGAGGACTCAAAGACTAGGTACTCGCAGCATAGTGAAGCAGGTGCAAGTTCTCTTCAAGGTCTATTCCTTTAGCTTAGGCGTTTCCATCCATTGAAACATGTCCTCACTTTCTAGATTTTGAGTTTTGTTCTCTTTGCCTCTCATCACGCTGCACCACCACGTCCTCCAACGCCCCATTTCGCTTGCGCCTCAACAACACCATCTTTGATAGCCGGCAATTCCCTGCCCCGTCCAGTCGGACGCGGCAAGAAATTGGTTTCGACGAGATATCTTAAGAAACGGCCAACCGATTCCCTACTGATGCCATCTCCCGCACTCTCGTCAATACCTGTCCACCGGTCCGCATCGGCCTTGAGAACAGCGACAGCATTGCGATCGTCAAGTTCCGGCGCGCGGGTGTCTTTAGGGAGGTCATTCGTTGCCATGTGGAAAAGAGGCATCAGGGCGCTCTGTTGCTCGTCTTTCTGGGTGGGACCTGCCGAGACAAAGGTCTCGAGCTGGGCCTTCCAATTGTCGTAATCCACTTCGGGAACATCATAGCCATAGAAGCTCAAGGTAGAAAGATACTCGTTCATGCGTAGGCGAGGATGGGCAGTGACATGGATAACATGGACACCAACGTCATCGCTGCTGCTGCGGACGCTATTCGCAGTTCCAGCCGGGATAGGATTCAGGGAAGCTGCAACAACCACGGTAGAGACGTGGCCTACAGGCACAGCATTGATCGTGTTGATGATATGCGGACGGCTGGAAAGTTGGATGCAGCCCTTGAGCATGCGGAGAAGAAAGTCGTCGGTATTGCAGACACCAGTAGCAGCATCTCCAAGGATATAGCCAGGTCGGATGATCGATCCAAGGAGGCCGCGTCTGCCAGCCTCGCGGACGAGCTGTTCAGAGACCTGTGGTGCGTTAGAACGGATGTTACTTGCGAAGAGAGTGTCTGTGGAGGCTACTTACCCATTTGGACTGGCCGTATCCGGTGCCGAGACCGGTGCGACTGCCCATCATGTCATCAGCCTCCATGACAGCGCCTTGTCCAGTCTTGGTCTGTTCGTGTGATAAATCCAGATAGTGGTCCGTATCCAGAACGCTTGTCGAGCTGATGAATGAGAAGAGCTTAGGCTTTCCCTGGTTACACAGCCGCAGGGCATCGAGTGTTGACAGAACATTGCTGCGCTCAAGATGCTCATACTGCTTTACCCAGTGAACGAGGGCACCATTATGGATAATCACATCGACAGTGTCGCCAAGCATCTTCCACGTATCGTCATCGAGTCCAAGACGCGGCTGAGCCAGGTCACCGATGACTGCGCTAAGCCTAGCAGCCCAAGAATCCTGCCATACGCCGTATCCGCGAAGTGACCTCTGAAGCCGCTCGAGGGCAGCCGCGACGCTCTTTGTTCCACGGACATGGGCGATCACATTTATACTCTCACGCGCGAGCAGGTCCTTAACAATGTAGGAGCCCAAGAAGCCTGTGGCGCCGGTGACAAACACGGTTGTCTTGCCTTCCGGCGAGAGTGCTGCGGCGTCCGCTGTCTGGTACTTAGCATCGAGACTACCGAGCAGCTTGTCGAGTGACTCGGCATATGCAGCCTCGGTTTCCTCCGTCGCGGCCGAATCGTTCTTGCCGTCACGCTGGCGGTCAATCTGCTTGCCGAGAGCCCCGAGGGACGAGTTTGAGTACAGCGAGCTGATGGTCATGTTGACCCCCAGTTGCTTGCGGATATTGAGAAGGAGCTGCTGGGCCAGCAGACTGTGCCCACCACTTTCAAAGAAGTCTGACTCAGGCTGCAAAGTTCTCGCATTCAGACCACTGATCAGCGTTGCCCACTGCTCCGCCAGTTCCTTCTCGGTGCTGCTAAGCGTTTCCCATCTCTTTAGATCCTCCTCTGAAGTCTCTTGCGAGATCAGAGCCGCGTCCGGGAACGGTAGGTTTGGGCTGTCAATCTTGCCGTTCGGGTTCAAAGGCATCTTGTCCAAGAAGATAAAATAAGTCGGGATAGCCTGAACTGGCAATCGAGATTTGAGATGATCACGAATCTCTGTCTGCAACGGCCGGTAGCGCTTGGAATATACGAAGACGGGTCCGATCTGAGTGCCTTCGTCCTTGGTGTCGTCCAGGCTGCGCTCTGCCAGCCATTTGAGCCATTCTTGCTGTTCAGGCACAATGTAGCTGACCAATGTTGGCTCTTCGTTCCGGTCTCTTCGAAGCAGCGTTTTGCACTCGCGAACGATGGCGTGTCCCCTCAAGTTGCTGTCAATCTCAGAAAGCTCAATTCGGAAGCCACGAATTTTAACTTGATCATCAGCTCTGCCTATGATGGCAGCGTTACCGGAGTCGTCCAAGAAGTACCCCAAGTCGCCGCTTCTGTAGATTCTGTCTCGAGGGCCCTTGTAGTACTTTCTCCAGGGCTCTTTAGCGTGATCAGCGACTTTGTTATCGGCATCAACCCATTTCTGGTTGTCGACAAACCAGTTCTGGAGGAACTTCTCCTTGGTTTTCTCTTCGTCATCCAGATATCCGTGCAGCAGAAGGTTAGCAGGACTCTATCATGGAAGGGGGAGACTTATCTCAGCCAAGCCTGCTGCTCTCAGCATGATCTCACCAACCTCTCCAACGCCACAAAGCTTGGTAGGATCCTCGCGGTTGACTACAAGAAGCTGGACATTCTCAATGCCCCTTCCAGCAGGAATAATGTCGCCCAATCTATCCAACGCATCTGGATCTTCAGCGCGGCTCTTGATGTGATAGTACGACACGCTGCGGCTCGTCTCAGTGGTACCATAGGCAGCACAGATCTCCGCGTTGGGTGCCAGCTTGCGGAGCGAAGCGCAATCCTTCTTGGTCAAAATATCACCAACGTAGAGAACCCACTTCAATGAAGGGAACTCTGCCTTAGCACCGCCGCACAAGATTTGACCCATCGCGGGTGTCAAATGGACCGCATTGGGTTTGTGATCACGGAACCACTCAGCCAACCTTTCGTGGGCGATGTTCTCTCGAGCAGGGCAAATCAGCTCTCCACCCATGAAAAGCGGACTGAAAATGTCTCGCTGAATAGGATCATGGCTTATACCACTGTAATTGGTTAGCAGAGCTGTGACGGGCATCATCTTTAAGGGGCTCTACCTCAGACAAGCGAACTTTGTGTCCGAGGTCCAGTTGAATGTTTTAGCCATCCATGGGAAGTACTTGGCTAAGCTGTAATGACGGCCCAACACGCCCCTATGAATTGTCAGCTAGTTTCTAAGCTTCAACAGTTGCGGGGGGCTCGACTTGGGTCTTGATGTTGTGCCACTGGTAAAGCTCAAGATACTTGTTGAGTCGGGCCCTACCAGAACATCCGGGGGCGCTTGTGCTTTGCTTTCAGTATCGGTAAAGACTTGCTTGCCGTCAATCTCGCCACCGGTAAGACGGCCATCATCGCTCATCCGTAGCTCGGGTACTTGGATCTTGAGAGATAGTTCCTCGTCCATGTACTTCTGAACAAGCGGCGCAAAATCACCATGATCGTCCCTGGCTCGGCCAATCGTGATCAGAGCCTTGGGCTGTGAGACCTCGAGATAGATCTGTTGTCTCGCTGGGGGGTATGCGGGGTCCAGGACGGTAACAGTGGCACCGGCAGCCAGGGTTCCCATGAAGGCGATGACGAGTTCAACGCAACGAGAAGCAAAGATCATAACGACATCGCCATTGGAGATGCCAGCTTCGTGAAGCTGGTTGGCCAGAATGTTGGACGCATCATAAATCTGCTTGTAGGTGAATCTCCTCTCAATTGTGGTGGAGGAGGCTGTTTCCGTGACGCACGGCGCATCAGGATTCTTCAAAGCATTCTTGCGGAATATCTCGTGGATGGCGCCAACATAGCCGCCCCAGTCAAGGTCGATGGTGGGATCAGGAAGCCCCATAGCGGCAGAGAGACAGCAAGTTTTGTTGTACTGAGCCGGTAGAACACAATTGCAAGATCGAAAGTGTTGACTTGGAAGATGTGTCACCAGAGGGGAATTCTGCTGTGCGCCGATCGTCGGCAGAGGGGCAGTTTTTTCTTACAGTGAGGTGGGCGGGAGGTTCTGACGGCGCGGTCACGTGGAAGCAGAGTTTAAAAGATTAGTCACAGGCTTTAGCAGGGGTGAAAGCCAACCAAAGGCTTTGAATCTGCTTCTGGGCCCATTTATTCAGCGTTTGACTCATATGTGACCTACAGCAGAAGGCAGCGCAGAAGGCAGGTGCAAAATGTAGGCACAAAACCAAGCGTAGGGGGCAGGCACAGAGGACAAATGTGGGCTGCGTAGAGGGCAGTAAGGCATTTTGACTTAGCGGGCGGGTAGTGACTGAGAGAGGCAGTATTAGGAAGGGACGACTACCATTACAAGGCTCTGATTGGCTGGAAAGACGCACCCTGCGAGAATAGCAAAGTTACCCTGCGCTTTTACCCAAACCGCGTTAGGGATATCCGCACTGGACAAGAGCTTCCTACTGAGGAGCCATTCCTCAGCTCACATAACTCTACAGTCGACAACTTCACGTCGTTTCTCCGTGACACTGAACGTCATCGTATCGTGTATCGTCGTGGACTTTATGAATGTCATGTCCAATACATACTATTGGAACCTTCCAAAACGACTTGAGCTGAGCCAGCGATCACAGCGTTGCATTCCACTCACCGTGAAGGTGAACATCCCGAGTGGATATGTCTCATCCCGCCTCCCTCGGACCTTCGAGATGAAGTCTTTCTCACCACCCTTCCCAGGCTTTCAACCTGTCACTGGAATGGACACATCGTATACTCCTCGCCTAAGCCTCCCATTATGGCGATTTAGCTCGCATCACTCTGAAACGAGGCTCGTCCTTGTCCCCGTTTGGTAGGAGACAGGGCGAGTGCCCTTTGGAAACCACATGGAACGGGAAACGTTAGTGTGCGCGATGCGCGCTCACTCGCGACTCCTTTGCGAGGGCGCGACCACTGGCGCGAAGGGAGGCATCAAGCACCGGCAGACAGGAAAACATGGCAATATGATTCGCGCCAAGTGTATCCTCTCCTGGTATCGTCCTGTGCTTCTCCCGTCTCTGCTGCCGAGATAACCTTCGTCTGCCATGCCTTTCTCTCATTGAATTTGTTGTTGTTGTTTTCCGCTTCTTTGGCTCGCAGATGCCGCTCATTTCACTCACCCCGTCAGACATGGCCTCATTTGGGATGCTGCGGGTGCTACTGCTACTCCATCTAGCTGCGCGGACAGGCGCAGTTCCGGTCGTTTACTTTCCATTCAATTCCCAGCTGCCACCAGCGACGAGGATATCCGAGCCATTTTCATACACTCTTTCACCGCAAACCTTTTCTTCTCAATCACAAATCTCTTACAGCCTAAGAGATGCACCAAAATGGCTCTCAATCGACAGCAGCACCGGGCGTCTGTCAGGAACGCCTCAAGATGCCGATGTTCCGTCCGGGGAGGTAGTTGGGGTTCCAGTAGATATCATTGCGACAGACGACTCTGGTTCGGCGACAATGACGGCTACTCTCGTGGTGACCAGGAACCCGGCACCAACAGTCAAGATTCCGCTAGCCGAACAAATCCAGCAATTTGGCGACATTTCTTCGCCATCTGCAGTCGTAGCCTCTCCTGCTTCCGACTTTTCCTTCTCATTCGCCAAGGACACGTTCTCCTACACGGGAAACGGCATTAACTACTACGCCACTTCAGCAAATAACAGCCCTCTACCTTCATGGATCAAGTTCGACTCTGGCAGTCTGACGTTCACTGGAAAGACTCCGCCATTCGAGTCTTTGGTTCAGCCGCCTCAAAAGTTTGACTTTAGTCTTGTTGGGTCTGACATTGTAGGATTTTCGGCCGTTTCAGTCGTGTTCTCTATCGTCGTTGGCGCGCACAAACTGACGACTGATACTCCCATCGTCAACATCAACGCGACGGCGGGGCAAGAAGTATCTTACGAAACATTGGCCGAAAGCATCAAATTGGACGGCAAATCTATCGCGCCGACTGATCTGAACCTCACCACTTCCAACTTACCGAGCTGGCTCTCGGTCAATAATTCGACGCTAGTCCTGAAGGGCACACCTCCCGACGACGCAAAATCCTCGAATTCCACGCTCACGTTTCGAGATGTCTACCAAGATACTCTTGATATCTTGTTGTCTGTCTTGATAACGACTCGAATCTTCCGGAACACGACACTCCAATTCGATGTTACGCCTGGGGAAGCCTTCTCATTTGACGTTGAGCCCTATTTATGGACTCCAGCCGATGTAGAATTGGGCCTCAGCAACTCGCAAGATTGGGTGGAGGTTGATGGGCTCAAAATCACAGGAACAGTCCCCAAGTCTGCGTCACCGAAGAACACCAAGCTTCTCGTCAAGGCCACCTCGAAGAGCTCAGGAGAGTCCGAGACCGTTGCTGCAGATCTTGAAATTTTGTCGGCAGCTGTGACCACCACATCGGCGCAACCAACGCCTTCTGCCAGCCCTACGAAGTCCGCAGCAAGCGAAAATCCAAGAAGAGGGTTGAATCCCGGGCTCATTGCCTTGGCGGTGCTCCTTCCTATTCTTTTCCTTTTCGCCATAGTGATCTTGATTATCTGCTGCCGACGAAGGAGACAACGCGACTCCATACACGAGCAGAAGAAGAGTCAGATATCGGAGCCTGTACCTGGCAGCTTTGTTTGGAATGGTAGCAGACACAGCCGGGAAACGTCCAATCCATCCATGGTCGAGATCATCAAGAGGCCCGAAGACAGCCGTCGCAGCCGAGGATACTTCAACTCTGCAGTGGCGAGGATGCGACAGTCGAGAACGCTTTCAACAATCACCGGCTCCCGCATCTCCCAGTCACTTCACCGCAACTCGTCACACTGGAGGAGTCCTCGGAGCGACAGGAGTGTGCCTACCTCGCCCTCATTTGGGTCGTCATGGCTCACCGAGGGTGTTTACTTCCAACCACAACACGCGCACCAAGGATCAACAAGCACATATGACGGTCCGAGCGATGTCCTTTCTGGTTCCTCCGGCTTCCTCCAGGGTGAGCGAGACGACTCTTTCCGCAGCGCCCTGGACGTCACCATCCCTTCGATGCATGACGAAGTAAGCAGCATCCAGGCAACACCAGATATGGCTTACACGAGTCCATGGGGAGAGCCGTCGAGACTAGTCCTCGACAGGTCAACGCCACTCTCGGCTGCTACACACTCGGATAGTCTGGCGTCAATTCCTGAGCAGCCGACACCATTGGGGTCGCATCCCACCCACGGCCGGCGCTTTTCTCCCGCTCAAAGGCCGAGGCGGACATTCTCCTTGCTAAGTTCTAGATCACAGAACAGCGTTCGCAGCTCTCGGTCCGGGTCAGGAAGAGGTAGAATGGGGCGTCAAGACTCGCAGCCGGGGTCGTGGACGGGGTCCATGATGAGTCGGCCTATCAGCAGGAAGTCGGACTCCAGCCCTTTCTTTGGCGGGCGCTCCGTCGTACCGTCCCGCAATCGCTACAACCTCGACAGCGACTCAGACTCCCTGGAGTCCTCAACGCGGGGAACGGAAAATTGGCAGACAATACCCAGGGATTCTCTGGGCATCGCCTACGCTGAGCTGGCCCAGACCTCTCCTTTCCTGAGAAACCAGTCTTCCATGTCTCCTCGACCTCTCAGCATTGTCAAGAAAGACTCCAGCGGGCCAAGAATCGGCAGGGAAAGCCGACCCGGAAAGCAGATGTCGTTGTCTCGGCGACGATCATCCAGTTCCAATGCCATATCTACGGGACGCTGGAGCAGGAATTCTCCCGCGGAACAGGGTCCGTCCGGCGCCCAGCCGGGCTACGCATCGTCTCGGGCGAGTAGCGAAGTGCTGGGCAAAGGAAAGGGGCTTGCGCGATACTCCTCAGGCCTTGAATCAGACAACTCCGACTGGATGACAGAGGCGGGCACGGTGGGGAAGAAAGGACCTCGGAGTCGTCTGGACAGCAGCGACGATTACCGCGTATTCATGTAAAAGGCATACTTTGTCACCACCCTCGTTTAAAAGCGTTGCGATTTGTTATACCCACCTGGCGAAGCAAGGCTCCGTGTATTCTGGTGATTGGATTCTGTAATGGAAGGCGATATGGTAATGCTAGAATGGGTTGGACAGGGTGTGATGGGCTGAACGGACGACCCTTGACAGGGAACCTAGGACTGTAATGTTGAATTGACGATGCCACAAAAGCTAATCTGGATATTGGGGCACGATACCCCGCGGACCCCTTTTTTTCTTCTGCTTTTCTTTATTTAACAAAACGAGTCTGTGCTCTTTATCCTGGACAGGGCAAGAGTTGGCCTTGTGGGGGGACCCGGTCAGCGCACATTGCACCGAGTGGTCCGACTGCACCGGCGGGGGGGAGGGGAGCTCAGCCACAGCTTCGACGATTAGCGCCCGCCGCGCTCCAAAAAGAGGAAACCCCCACCGTTAAGCCCCATCGGGGTTTAGGACGTTGGGCGTAGAGCAGCTGGTCTGCCTTCGTTGGGCCATATTCACCGAGCAACATGGTGTTACATTTGAGAAGGAGAGCAGAGGGTAGAGCTTGGACCTTTGTTTCCGCCAAACTGTACTGCTTCAGGGACCCTACGTAGCTTGATCTCGGAGGCGGGAAAGGGGAAAGGAGAGGGGAAAGCTGCTGAGGGGAGATGGAGATTTTTTTTTCCTTGGGCAGAGGAGAGGGGCAGGAAGAGGGGGGCCTTGCATGAGCACCGTGCAGTCGATATGGCAGGTGGGTAAGACGGCTCTGGCGGGCTTCATCAAACGATGACGGATGTCTGTGTCCCCGGGAAACACGGTCCTTATTGTGGTGATGCTTTCGAAGTAAGATGAAGAGAGGAGACATTCAGCAAGCAACGCGAGGTACTAAAGCTCGCTGAATAAGACGGGCCTAGCAGGCGTATGGTGCATAGGAAATATCATTCTGTGTACTATGCAGTATGGCCAAGAAGCGAGACATGACGCAACCATGGGAAAGCTCGCTCATACTCATCAGGAATTCCGCATCGGGCTTCAACAGTAGCAGCCAAACCTTGTATGGCGAAATGCTTGAGGATGACGATGCATGTCACCTCTTCAAGTGCCGCTGTTCCAGTGCTTCCATTCCTGTGTGCCATTGGCTGGCGGTTGCCAGGTGTTGACTGGGTCGCGTGGGAGTCATAAACTGAGAGAGACTCGGAGACTGCAAGAGAGAGGAAAAGCACGCGCAGTACAGAGTCGCCCCTCAACGTTCAGGTCTCAGCACCTTCGCCAGAGACTGACAACTTGTCAACTTTACCAGGGCCAGTTGCTTCAGTCCAGGATTGACTTGACTGGACAGTCTGTCTCTGAGTGGACTCCCTGCAACTGTAGACTAGTCAGCCGACCTGTTGGGAGGCGGCCGAAGGGTGACTCCTTGTCATTGTGGGTGGTGTTGGTGCAAGCAGCGCAGCACAGTGGAGGCGATATGCGCGTTGACTACCAAGGCCAACTCTTTCCCCTCTGCATTTTCAAGCGATGCTCAAGACAGACGCTCATGAACTGCTGTGTAATGGCCAAGGTAGGCAGGTTACCGAGGTGCCGTGGTCGGAGGTACTACTGCATGTATCAATGGACTCATGGCAGAGTGAGTACCTTAGTCGTGGTGGTTGCCATTGCCATTGCCTGGGCTGCTGGTTGCTGGTTGCTGGGTACATATGTGCCCGCTTAGGTTAGAGCCAGCAAGCACCTCACCTCAGCAATATCCCGCGCTCTGCCCGCGGCTCCAGGCCGGGCTGGGCTGGGTTGGTTGGTCGCGGTGGCCTGTGCCTGCCTAGGTATGTACCTACCTTACCTGCGAATACCTGGCCTACTAGGTGCGTAAGGTAAGGTGTGTTGCTTCTGCGCCTTCCGCATCGCACAGCGACTCCCCCAGGCCACCAACACACGCGACCTGACCGTCACCACCACTCTCTTCCTGTGGGAAAACTCTTCTTGCTCACAACCTCACCCACCGAGCCACGATTGAGTTCGGTTTCTCTTTTTCCCCTTTCCCCTTCACCTTTTCTCCCTCTCCTGCGCAACCTCACCTCGTCGCGCGAAACAGCTATACCGTCCGACCGATCACGCCGTCTTCCTCTCACCACAATCCTTTTGGGGATCGCCGACCATCCCCTGCCATTTCCCTGCGATTCGGATACCCCGCTTCCTGCCCATTGTGCGCGATCTAGAACCTTTTGCTACCGCACCACCAACCGTACCGTACCGCACCGCACCACCCTCTTCACCTCTCGCCTCTTGTTTTTTTCTCAGCCTTCCTCGCGCACCCACGAACGGCTCTGAAAATTCTGCTCCCTCGCCATCCGATCCGCCCAGCACCAGCAAATTGCCCGACCGAATTCCCCTCTTCCTCCCGGTAGCCGCGCTGCCGACAAATTGCATCCATCATCATGGGTCAAACTCTCTCCGAGCCCGTTGTTGAGAAGGTATGTCAGGATCTGCCACCACTGCGCCCACCCGAGCCTTTGCTCCTGGTCTCTCCTGCTGCTCTTTGTCTCCGTCCTTTGCGACAGACTGCCTTTCTCTGTACCTGCTCTCCTCTTCTTCCATGCCAGCCTCCGACCCCGCTCCTCCTGCTCTTCACTTGTGATATCCTGTGCGGGCGGGGGACTCTGGGACCCGGGGGTCTGGATACGTGGCCCAGGCTTCATCTTGCTCGACTACCTCACCCATGATGACGTACCTGCCAATTTTATGTGTGAATCATTCAACTGACCTCAACATCAAAATTGTAGAACTCGGCCAAGGGTGAAGATGAACGTCTTCTCTACGGTGTGTCGGCCATGCAGGGCTGGCGCATAAGCATGGAGGATGCTCACATCACCGTCCTCGACCTTCTTGCCCCTGGCAGCGACGAAGCTAAGAAGCACGACTCCAAGCTCTCCTTCTTTGGAGTCTTTGATGGACACGGAGGTGACAAGGTGGCCTTATTTGCTGGAGAGCACATTCATGAGATCATCAAGAAGCAGGAGACCTTCAAGAAGGGCAACTACGAACAGGCATTGAAGGACGGCTTCCTCGCCACCGACCGCGCGATCTTGAACGGTAATATTCGACCTCTACACCGTTCCCAATCTTTCTGGCCACTCTTTTGGGCTGTGTACAGATTCATGGACGTAATGTTGGAAGAAAAACAAGAGCTAATGCGTGGTGGCTGCATCAGATCCCAAGTACGAGGAGGAAGTCTCTGGCTGCACTGCTTGTGTTGGCTTGATCTCCGACAACAAGATCTACGTCGTGAGTTTGCTGACGTCCCCGCTGACGGGCGATCCTTTTGGCTTCACTTACCAACCTTACCGGGAATTAGGCAAACGCCGGCGATTCGAGAAGTGTCCTTGGTATCAAGGGACGAGCTAAGCCCTTGTCCCAGGACCACAAGCCTCAACTCGAAGGTGGATAGTTTCTGTCGTTGTTTATGTGTTCGCGGCTTTGGAGGAATTGTGACTGACATGATTCCAATAAAAGCCGAGAAATCCCGTATCACAGCCGCCGGCGGTTTCGTCGACTTTGGCCGTGTCAACGGCAACCTCGCCCTGTCGCGTGCCATTGGCGACTTCGAATTCAAGAAGAGCGCCGAGCTCTCTCCTGAGGCCCAGATTGTCACCGCCTTCCCCGACGTCGAGGTCCACGAGATCACTGACGATGACGAGTTCCTGGTCATTGCTTGTGACGGTAAGCAAACAACAGGACGTGGATGACATGACACAGCGTTGATGTATTATATGCAGGTATCTGGGATTGCCAGTCGTCTCAGGCGGTTGTCGAGTTCGTTCGACGTGGCATTGCGGCCAAGCAGGATCTGGAAAAGATCTGCGAGAACATGATGGACAACTGCTTGGCGTCCAACTCGGAGACTGGTGGCGTTGGTTGCGATAACATGACCATGGTCATTGTCGGCCTTCTGCGCGGCAAGACCAAGGAGGAGTGGTACGAGGAGATTGCCAAGCGTGTTGCTGCTGGAGACGGACCTTGCGCCCCTCCCGAATACGGTACGACTGAATCCACCTCATCCTAAGCAAAAGAACGGTTGGAGACGCGCCAGCATATCCATTCGCATCGAGTCGCATCGTCGCTCTCTTCCCCTCCCATAATACAACCATTGAACCCTCCGTATCCGCCACCCATTTGTTACGTGCCCCTTACACATCACACATACATTCGTTTTTCCAAGGAGGAGAGAGCTGATCCATCCCGTGCAACTAGCTGAATTCCGCGGCCCTGGAGTTCACCACAACTTCGACGACAGCGACAGCGGCTACGACGTTGACCTGGAGAACAAGGGCAAGCCCTTTGGCATTGGTGGCTACAAGGGCCGTATCATCTTCCTTGGTGATGGCACCGAGGTCCTGACCGATTCCGACGACACCGAGATGTTCGACAACGCAGAGGAGGACAAGGACCTCGAGAGCCAGGTTTCCAAGGCCACCTCGACCACGAGCAAGGACAGCAACGCGGAGGAGTCGGCCGCCAAGAAGCCCGAGGAGGAGAGCAAGACGGGTGTGGAGAAGCCCAAGGAAGAGTCAAAGCCAGCCGCTGCACCCGCCGCGTCAACGGAAGCGCAGACCACCGAGAGCAAGGAGAAGTGAGCTCCTTCTCCATTGATGACGAACCTTTTTACCACCACTCATGAATACTACGGATGAGCATGCTGGCTTGAACGGATCGGAAGATACGGTTCCGGACGAAAGAGAGACTTTATACGGCTTGGCTGGGCTGGATGACTGAATGTTTCCTGTTGTTTTCTTCATCATGTTGGGTGTCCGGGCCTTTTTTATTTTGTGTCAGAATTGTAAGACGGGGGAGGAGAGCAGTTGCGGCGACAAGGAGAGGGCCGCGGTTTTTTTCCCAAAGAGAGGCAGAGACTCCCCCACAACGCGCGTGCTGTAGCCGAGTGGCCTCTCGTGGCCTACCTGAATAGCACGTCTTCCTCATGAAATCATTTGCATAAACCACCTCAAGCTGTTCTTCATTTGGAGTCGGTGATGTCTGGACGCTTGAAAATCTTGGCGATAGCGGTGCGAGTGATTGGGCACTCATGCATATAGATTACTCAGCTGTCTCAACGGCCTCTGCACACGACTACTGGACGCAACTTTTGTAGGTACCATGTAGAGATGCGTTTGTACTTTTGTCTGATTCTCTGGGTATATATAATACGACGACAAAGTCCAACTGACCTTTGTGCCTTTTCAAATATTACTTCATACACTGGCTGACCAATGGTCAAATTGTTTGTACATGGGCTTCTTCTATGCTACAGAACTTTTGCAGGACAATTATACTGCCTTGTCTGGGCGAATGAAGACTGGCTTCTGAGTGGAAATGTGCGTAACGGTCATCTCAAGCGTTCTGCGCTCAGCCGCACCGCATTTCTCTGTACGCTTCCTTTCGAGGACGATGGAGATGCCGCGCTTGGTGACTCTGTGAATCGTGGGCCGCGGGGCTGTAGTCGACGCTGTGGGCTCTGCCGGTGTACCAATATCTACCGGATTGGGAGAGCCTGGGAACGCGGCAGCATCTGGAAGTGTTGCTGGCCCGGCTCCAGAATCTGCCGACATAGTCTGCTGCTGCTGGTGGTGGTGGTGGTGGTACTGCTTCTTTTGCCGGTCGGCCTCTTTGATCTCGTGGTAGATCTTGTTGTCGGCCACCCATGCCTTCTCAAGAATTTCATAGAGTGGCAAAGCGGGCCCCCATCCTTCATTCCAACCATAGAGCAGGTTGCTGATTTTTGCGGCCCGTTTGAGCGGATTCAATGTGGCCTCCAAGTACCTGACCATGCTTTCTTCGTGAAAGGTCACCGTCACGGCTGGGCGGTCCAGCGTGGTCTTAGCCACCTCGTCGCCTGACTGGAAAGCGCCGGTCCGCATCATCAGCTCAGAGACGTCCCGTCGCATGTCCCAGGATGTTGTGCCGTTGAGGGCGGCGTATCGCCAGACGATACCCATCATATTGGGTTTGCGGAGCACCGTCATCAGCTTGAAGAGCTCATGGTATATCGTTTCGTCCAGAGGGATCTGCCACTCGTGGGCCCTGCGAAGTGCGGGAATGGCTGCCTCGGGTTTGCGCTGGAGTCGTGCGTGGTATACGAGGATATTGATGGATAATGTGCTCGGCCGAATATCGCAGGTATTGCGCATAATGTCGAGAAATTCAAGAGCGTCGTCGAGATGGCCCATCCGTCCGATTTCCGTGAGGATCTTGTTCACAGCCGACAGCGTGGCCCATTTCTTGCCATATCGACCCTCCTGAGCCTGCAAAAAGTCTTTAATTCCTGACCAGTTAGGTTGGTGCTGGCGGACATCCCAGACGGCAAGCTCTTTGGCGATCCGTTGAGGACCGCCAGGTTCGACGAGCATCCCGCACATATCCATAGTCTTGATGATGTGGCGGCGAACTTGCCAGTCCTGCATCATGGAAAGGACCAGGCACCAGGTGTCAACGTTCGGTGCGCAGCCATTCCCGACCATCAGGGAAATCACCCTGTCAAAGTTTCCTAAATCCTTGACGACGATGGTCCCCTTCAAGAGTATGTTGAAGACTTCAGTGTCCAGAGGCACCCCCAGGTTGCACATGCTGCTGAACAGATCGCGGGCATGGTGACGATACGAGTGGCCGTGAACCTCTACTGCCTGGAGAGCCACTTTGAAGGCTCGTATCGATAACGCATGGCGTGCGGTAACATCTTTGAACGTGTTGCAGAGGAGATCAAACGCCGCGGTCATCGCTCCGACGCCCGAGCCGTAAAAGCGCTGCGCAAGACGCGGAGATAGTTTTGCTTTTGCAATGGCCGCAACGTAAGCCTCGAATGTCTGAGGAGTCCATATGATTGGCTTGGGAATCTTCTCAAACGGGGTCTCCAGCGTGTAGGTATTTATCCTCGAAGGCCGCTGGGCTTTGTATAGACTCGACCACACCATGAGCATCGATTCAGGACTAGGAGTCTGTGACGGGTTGCTGCTAGTGACGACCACTTCACTGCTGAATTTACCGGCAACTCGTCTCACCTCGGCGATAGCGTTTGCCATGCCCCTGTCGTCTCCCGAGAGGAATAAAATGGGTCTCGCCGAAGATGACTTTTCGCCCTTCAATTTCTTCCATGGGACCCAATGTAGCTGAAGATGACATCTTGTTCTCTCGTGGATATCCCAAATGGTTTGATCGGGGTTGTAGAGAAGCGCCATCGCAACGTCTTCGCAAACCGAGATTTTGCGCGCGCATTCTTGCCAAGGCCCCTTGATCGGCCGAGTCCATCGCCTCAGAACTTCCAGGATCGAGCGCCAATTCCCGACAGGTTCTTTCTTGATCTCTCGAATAGCCTCCAGCCGCGACTGTCTTGTTAGGCTCCGGTGATGGCGATTGAGACTGGACATGGTCTCGCGAGGAGACTTGTATCCGATAGGGCTCTCTACAAGAACCGACTCGTGCTTCCGCTGTACTGGTGACGTGGGTTGGCGTCGCCCTCTTGCTTTCTGTTCCAAACCCTTCGACCCGTTCTCAAGGGGGCCATGCCGTCGGTCTGTAGTCCTCCTCCAGATACCAGTTTGACTTGTCTTGAGGGGTTCATTTCGAATGGGCAAGACTTCCCGGAAGTTCGCGTCTCGAGTCGAGGACAGGCCATATCGAGTGTTCGGCTTTGATATTGTCCCATCTCCAGCTGGTATGTCGAAAGCCCGATCACCGCTCTCGGTCTGGAATTTCTCTTCGGTCCGTCCTTTGGGTGCAAGGGTCCCAGCTTCAACCACTGAGGCTCCTTCAGTCGCATCCGGAGCAGGATCGGCAGTCTTTCGATCGATGATTTCGCCCGCTTCCTTTGAGTCAGAGGAAGGGATGGTCTCGTCGAGGTTCGGCTTCACTGCAGCTCCGGAAGCTGCGTGGATCCATCGATACGATGGTGGTAGTGGTTGAGCTATAGGCGCCCGAGACCATCTTGGAGGACCCCTGGGAATCAGAGATATTCCAGAGACGCCGGTGCGGTACAATCGGGCTCTCCATGCTTGTGCGATTCCCAGGGACATTTGCTATGAGTGGCCCATGGTGTGTGCTGGGCTGGCGATTCGCGTTGAAATTTGGAAAAATGGCTGGAGAGCGACGTCGCAGGCCAGCGGGAACGACGAAATTTCCACTCGCGCCGATTGAACCCGGCCCCGTTGTGCAGGAGCCACCGGCCGCCGATACGCAGCCGCGGGCCTTCTGCGCGAGTTCTTGAAAAAACAGTGTAGGCACTGTTATCCACACAGTCGCACCCATGAATCTGCTTCAAGTCTAGTTCATACAAAATAAACTACCTAGATTTATATAGAGACGGGTATACAAGAAAAGAATAGCTCTTCATCTCTCTTGGCGTCTTCATTACTTGTTGGGCGTCACGGGTAATGCCCCTGAATTCGCATGCGCCGGCCCGCTCTGATCTACGCCTTGCCAGCTCTGGTTCCATCCTTCGCCCTCTTCGACAGCGTGCGTTGCTTCGCCGTTCTCAGCGAGTCCTTTCACGTCGCTCCAATAGGATAACTTCTTCACTTCCTCGTCGGCATGCTTGATTGCGGCCTCAAGGTGCTTCCTCCTCTCCTCTAGCTCCCCTGATTCGTCTTCTTTTCCGTCTGTTGCGACATGCTCATCATATATCTTGGTCAAATGACTGAGCAACAGTCTCCTTGAGGCTTGGAATACGAAGATGCCCATAATATCGTGCATTTCATCCTGCAAGTGTTCGAGGTTGTCTTTGGCATGCTCGAGATAGTTCTCAACGGCTTCGATCTTTTCTCGGTCGATTCGCGCGGCCCGCAGGACTGCCATCAGCGTCCACACGTCTTCGATGTCGGGTTTCTCCTCCGCTATGCTCGTCTGCATGCTCGCCTTGCTGATGCTTTCCCGACGGCTGCCAACACTAGAGGCGCGGCTGTGATTTGCAGGCGTGACGGTGAAGTAGTCGTTGTTAAGCATGTGCGGGTCTTCAGAGACATCCTCGGGCTTCTTCTTGACTCGCTTTCGAACCCAGGCTCTCCTACGCACGAAAGAGTTCCACCATTTCGGACCATGCCACGAGAACTTTTTGGAGAACATGAACGAATATTCCCACCCAAACTCGTCCATTTGAACGCCTTCTTCTCGATGTACCCTCCACTCCGGCCACGCCCACTCCCACGTCGGGTCAGGGACTTGGGCCGTCTTAATGGTCGTTGGACTTGTCTTATGGAATTGGTTTGTCCAAGGAGAGGGATCGAGGTTGCCCAAGGCCTTGCCAGAGAATAGAGGAACTCTGCAGCAAAAACAGCCTCTCTCATTCTCCCACAATACGTCTATTGCAGATTCTCGCTCTGCTGTCGATGGTCGCTCCCTCCGGCCGGCATCTCTTATAGGTATTGGGGCTTCGTGTGGCGTAGGTTCTAATGGCAAGCACATTCAGTTCTTGATACAATCGAGTAGAGATCTCCGGGGTGGCATACCTTCGACTTCAATTGATGGTGCTCCAGTACCCGCTGTGGTCTGGGCAGTTAAGACTGGGATCTTCCGCCGCTCCCTGGCTTGAGATAAGCGACTAGGTCCTCGACTTGATGCATTCCGAGATGAAGCGACCTCGTCGTTCCCATTTCTGTCCACGTCACGGTCCGTTCCGTTGCTCAGATTGTGCTCTTCTTCTTCTTGGTCTTCATCGCGAAGCAGTCGTGACCCAGTCGATGCTCGGGTCACGTCATTGGGGGTTTCTAGGCTGGGCGAGGCAACGCGGTCTTCGTGGTTAACCAAGTTGATCTCGTGGTCGTAGTCGCAGTCCTTCAGGCCGGTAACCCGACGAGAACTTCGGAACGATGGCATCTCTACGGCCAAAACCGCCTGGGCCAGCGGTCAGAAAGCCCGGGGTTGAACAAAACCCCAAGGCGAAGAGGCAGCGTTCGATGCAAGAAGCCTTTTCGGGGGTTCGTGTGGGGAACAGGAGACAGGCTAGGCGTGATTCGAGACGGTTCTCGCAACGCCAGTGAGCGAGCGGTCAATAGGGAGCTGGACAGGAATGTTTCGAACACAGGGAGAGGCGGCCGTGCGAATCACTCGACCATTGTGTGTTGAATCGAAGGCGAGTCGAATTATCTCCAGACACCTCGTCTAGAGGATGGGAGGTGAACAAGACTGGTAAAACAGTAGATGAGGCTGTTTAGGGAAATCAATTGAGACCTCGCGCGTCCGGACCTAGCGCGGGCTGGACCAAGACGACGACCACCTAGCAGTGGCCAAATGTGGCTCAGAACAAGGCTAGTACGATGCAGGAGCAGCAATGCGGCGCGTCGGTGGTGCTTGCTGGTTGGAGGTCTGGGCCAGCTGAATCTGGGCTGGTTCTGGCTCAGGCCGGTTCACGAGCTCCAGCTAGGCCGGTCCAGGCCACAAGGGTATGAAAGGGTGTGTGTCGCGTCCCAGAGGTCCGTCGATGATGTAATGTCCCAGCTTTCTCTCCAAGCAACGAGCCCCCTTGGCGTCAGCTTGCGTGCCGGAACCCAGCCAGCTCAGACCGTCAAGCGTTGTGCTTCGGTACTGCGTCGAACCAAAGACTTGAGCAGCCAGCCGTTCGGCCGGTGAAAGCGTCCGCTGCGGAAGCTGGTATTGCTCCAAGAGGAAATCGAAATCCCCCTCTACAAACCGACAGCTGATTCTCGGAGCTTTGATGGCTGCAAGGTGACACTGGGGATCCAGTGGAGGCCATTCTGCAATTGTGATGCAGTCGATGAGGTACTTGCAGCTACCTAGGCCGCCACTTATCACGGTGATGATGAAAGTACTCTCTGGTCCCTTCTGAAAAAGAGGGCCTGTGCGGCCTGTCATCCCGAACGCCAGTGGAGCTCCCGGCCAGGACCGGCTGGGGGTAGCTACCTTCGATTCCCCGCATTCATGCCGCTCTACGTCATGTATCTCTCACACCTTCACTAAACTAGAGCCTCCTGAGCTTGAACCTGTGCCTTGCCCAGACGACGAGCTGTCACTGGTGTGATCGCTAGGAGGGGGAAGGATGTAACCGCGCAGCAAATACTCAGACGACTAATGAGACAATGGCAGCAGCAATACCGGCCTGGCCCGTGAATTGGTAGTACTAATAGATCGTGCCATCCATCTCTGCCAAAACTTCCGTTTTCTCTCTTCTTCCCTCCCTTCAATCAATCACAGCCCATAATCTCAACGACAATACTCTTGATATCGCCGAGAAAGTCCCAAAACTTTGAACCAAATCACCTCGATACACGCCACGCATCACGGTCAACATGTCCAAGTCCAAGGCCCCCCTCTTCCTCGGTCTCACTGCCGCCGGTGGTGTCGGTTACTACCTCTACAGCGCGGGCGGCAACCCCAACGCTGCCGAGAAGAAGTTTGAGAGTACGTGTATTGCAGTCTTGTACTTCATGCGTATGGCCATGGAACAATGACGCTAACCGTTACGAACAACAGGCGACGTCCACAAGGCTTCTGCCGAGATCAAGTCACACATCTCTGGCCGCACTCCAGAGGCCCAGAAGGGCTTTGGCGATGCCGGTGCCCGCGCCGGCGCCAGAATCGACTCTGCTGTACGTAATACGACGTCAACCAATAGCTGAGGTACAAGCCTAATATCATTCCTCACAGGCTGCTGAGGCAGACAAGCAGTTCTCCTCTGCAAAGAGCACCGCCGAGGCCTACGCCAAGGATGCTAAGGCTGAAGCCCTGAAGAAGATTGACCAGTTCGACAAGAAGGTCGAGGATGGTGCTGCCAAGGCCAAGAGCGGCGTCTCCAGCTGGTTTGGCGGAAAATAAGCACTCTTACGAATGACGATTTCTTTTGTGTTATGACCTTCGGGTCACTTGTTACAATAGGGCCGGGTTCGATTATCTCAGGGTTAGGAGTCTCGTGACATGAACCAATTCTAATACTTTCGACTCAATTTTTCGCTGTCCCATGCTCTAATCGTCATGTCCTATATGCGCCTACTTATCTCGGTAACATAAACCTGCCTTGGCCACTTGGGAAATTATTCGATACAAGTATAATGCACACCTTATTTCTCTATGCGATCCGCCACAAGCTTCAAGATTTCCTCGGTTTCTTTTCTCGCATTCTGAGGATGCTTGGCGATTGCCTGCCAGTGCTCGCCGTGGCGAGGCTCGTTGAGGACGCACTTGTTGATGACATCCGCTCGTTTCTCGTCTGTACCGTGCTGGAGCAAGAACTTGTAGTACCATGCCCAGCTGTCGCCGTTGTCGCTGTCCAGAACCAGCGCTTTCTCGAACCAGTTCTGGGCCTTCTCGAGCTTGCGCTCGCCCCAGAAAATCCGGGCGACGGCAACAAAGAGGATCGGGTCGTTGTCCACCTTCTTGATGGCCTCCAGAGACCGCGGTTTCCGCTGGGTTCGTGGCTCCAAGTGCCAGATTTGCTCGCTCCACAAGAGGCCACTCTTCGGGACTTCTTGAAGAGCCTTGGCCATGAGGGACTTGGCCTGGTTGATGTTGCCTGCCCGCCGCTCGATGCGGACGGACTCGCACCACAACGCTGGGGACTTGGGAACCGCCAGACGGGCTCGATCGAGGACACTGCGAGCCTTGACAACAAGGCCAGCGTTCTCTTCCAAGCGGGAGTAGAGGAGCCATAGGGGAATAGACTTGGGAACAGCCTTGACACCGGTGCTGTAAGACTCCCGCGCCTGGCCAATCTTGCCAAGGTCCTCGTAGATTTGACCCTTGAGCATCCATAACTTCGCCGCGCCAGGGAAGTATTGCAGAGCTCGTTGGGCGAGGTCCAATGCTGCCTCGCTGTTGCCCAGCACTCTCTCGAACACCACACTCTTCATCCAGACACGATCCGTGGGCGCCTGTTCGCGAGCTTCCTCCAAGAGCTTGCGCGCCCGTTCTGTCTCTCCGTTTTCGGCCTCGAGCTTAACGGCAGCAAGCCAGATATCTTCGTTATCGGGGTTCGACTTGAAAGCCCTGGCAAGAACAAGTCTGGCATTGTCAACCTCGCCGGCCTGCCACTTCTCCTTGGCCAGCATCATCCACAACACCTCACTCTTGGGGCAGGCCTCAACAGCCTTCTCCAAGACCTGAGCGAGGGACTCTTTAGTTCCGTGATTCCTTTCCAGGTCGGCGGCGGCCATCCAAAGCGTCTTGCTGTTGACGAAAACACGCAAGGCGTAAGAGTAGATGGCACGGGCTGTTTCGTACATGCCGCGGTTGATGCTGCTTTTCGCGTCTTCCATCCAGGTTTCCTTGCGGTCGTCGTCCTCGTCCAAGCCGTAGCCCAAGGTTTCTTGGATGATGTTTCCGCAGGTGATTATAGCGCCCTCATCCTCGCACTTCTCAGCCTCGCCGATCCACTCCTCTCGCTTCGGCATGGCAGACTCCTTGACGAGAACTGCAACAGCACGCTTCATGACGTTAACCTTCTGTCCTGTGCCGAGCTGCTCCTGCAGACGGGCAGCAGCAATCCAAATCTCATGGGATGTAGGAACTGCTTTTCGTGCCCTGTTGAGGACCTTTTGGGCGTTCTCTGGGCTCTCCAGTCTTGCCAAGGCCAACCAAAGATCAACGGAAAGGGGTATAAGCTCAGTTGCCTTGGCGAGCAGCAACCGCGCATCTTCCGGATCTTCTTCCAAGTTGACCGCTTCCTTCCAGAGAGCCTCAGATTCTGGGATGTGGTCCAGAGCAAGTCGGATGACTCTCTTCTTCGCTCTCGGTTCATTCTCCAGCCTCATCGCCTCAACCCAGAGTCGCACCGATCGTTCATTCTTCTTGATGGCATCCGCGGCGATAATTTTAGCGTTGCGACCTTCGTTCAGTCTAATGTTCTCCAACCAAACGTCCTCGCTTTTGGGGCAATTTGTGCATCCACGTGCAATCACGTTGCGCGCCGCGACAGTCTTGCCTGCAAGCTCCTCCAAGCGTGCTGCCGCAATCCAACCCGGAGCATTATTCGGGTTAGTCTTGATGACCGAGGTCAAAAGCTCGCGCACTCGGTTGATGTCACCAACTTGCGCCTGAGCTTCCGTCAGGCCACTCTTCTGTAGACTGGTGATGTAGCCCTTGGGGTCGATGCTCGTCGCGCTGCCACCAACGGAGGACTCCGTTCCATCCAGAGATGCCTGCTC